AACTTTTTATTTTAAATTCCATTTTAGTATTTGTAACTTTAAATATTCTTCCTTTAATTCTTGAATTTTGCACAAAAACTTGGACCCATGCTTTATGAGTCCCTATATATATTCAAATATAGTTCTAATTAACTTTTGAAAAAATCTCAAAATTTGAAAAACATATTCATTTATTAAATATAAAGTTGTTGGTGTAGACCATTTTTTAAAATTTATTAAAGATTGAATTGAAAAAAATGTCAAATAGGTATAGAAGCTTAGGGACTATGGTACGAAATAAAAACATTAAAAGCTGATAACTAACATAAAACAAATCTCTAAATACACCGACTAAAATGGTATTTTCTATGGCGATAAAGTAAAATTGTTTTTCTTTTTAATGTTGTTAAAATCAAACGTATTAAATTTATGTCAATATTTTCACATGTCCATGAATTCAACACCGACATGAGGGATGATTCAACATTCCATAAGATCGTCAAAAAATCAACAAAATATCACTGATGTGAACATAATCTTTAACCTTACTAATTTTTAATTTATTTAAAAATGATCAAATGCTAATTTGTTAAATTAAAATTTTGTTTTGAATTTTTTTATTTTTATAATTTTTTGAGAAATATCCATCGACATCCCCTAATCTCTATCAAGATTACTACCTTAACCCTATCCCAACATCGTTTAACGGAGTTCGTCATTTATTAACGGATCAATATTTTTGTAAAATTAAGACTTCGCGATTTCAACATAGATCGATATTTAAAATCTGGGTTAAAATTTAGGGTGAGGGTGAGGCTTAGAAACGAAGAGAGGGTGGTGATGATTATCAATCATAGTGTTAGAGAGAGAAGTTGAAAGTTGAAAGTTGAAAGATGGTGTCGTGTATTGTATCCACCAACTTGGGGTGGGGGCCACGACACAACATTGGTGAGTCACAGTCATTGTCTGCTTACGCTGTCATTATAATATATATATTTTTGTTATTTGGTGTGTGATTATTATTTTGGGTTATTGTTGCTTGAGTTGACTCAGCAACGACATGTAGGCAACTCGGTAGTGTAGGATGGTGTTTATGCCCACTCCCCAACCCACATCAAAACACTCCATTTTCATTTTCCTACTCTTCCCCTTTCCATCCTTTTCACTCTTATTATTATTTTCCCCACACGCATGGATGCCTTTCGTCAGTGAGTTCGTAACCGAACCGAGTCCATGGGTCCGAGTTCAAAAAAGCTGAGATAAAGAAAGATAGCGGAGAATTCAATCGAAAAGGTAGAGAGTGACAGAAAGACAAGTGAGACTGAGAACTCGAACCACCACCATACACGTACCATTCATACTGCGAGAGGTTGAATTGAAACCTCCTTTTGGAATATGGACCCCTCCCCCTCATTCTTTTAGAGTCGTTGTCATATTAAGGAATGCATAGCACCGGTAGGCCACAGGACCCAAGGTCTAAAGTTTCTCTAAAACTTTAAAATCTTGATTTTTTTTAAAAGAATATAATTGCTCATTTCCTTCCTTCTCCACTTTGCTTAGAGGAGAGGATCGTCTCCCCTCCTCCACTGCCCGAAGAATTAGAGAGCAACACGAGGACGAGGACGAGGACAAGAACGGAAAGTGAGAGGGTGGGAGGGATGGGTTAAACTTAAAAAGGTGTTTGATTTGATGTGTTTTTTGTTCCTACATGCTTTCCTCTGCTCTGCTTTTATCACTTTTCCAAAACCTTTTCAGTTCCTCTTTTTCCCTCTCAATGTACCAAACAACCTCTTCTTAGATATAATGTAACCTTTTCCAGCCAAACTTCCAACTTCCAAGCCCTCATTTCTCTCTCTCAACTTCATCTTTTCAAATATAATATATGGAGTTGACTCCACCACTCAAATTCTACATTTATTTTTCCTCACCAAATACATCATTCTTTGAATTTTTTGTATCAGAGCAATGTCTTACTATATCAACATTTAATATATTCTATGGGCTGTTCTTCTAAAGGTTAAAATATACACCTAACCTTATCCCCTCAAAAAAGCCAACTACCCTTATCTAAATTATACAATAAAGTATTTATCAGAACAATTCATATCTCACTTCATATATCATAAGTTGTAAAGGAATAAAACATTATGCAACTTATAGGTCATATAATTGCTCCATATATCTACAATGATATAAAGAAGAAATCATGTAATAAAGGGGTCTAGACTCGGACCACTTCGAAAGGAGGGCCTTCGTCGCCCTACTTGTAAAATAACCATAATTAAAATTATAAAGCAAAGTGTAGATATATGCTTTTAGGAGGGAAAGAGAAAAGAACCAGTTATGTTTGCAGTTGTAAAAATGTATCCCTGAAGCATTGGGAAGAACTACATTTCAACTGTGCAGTGAGTGGTAAAATCAAAATATTTGATTTACATCTATCACATAACTTCTAGTAGGAATTTTAAAATAATAATGATAATAAATAATGATAATTTCTTTCAAACCAAATCAATCAAATACTAGAAAATCGTCCACTAGAAGTTTGGCTTTTCTTGGTGGCTAAAAATCATCAATGATGATCAGTAACTGGGTAGATTTTAGCAGTCAAGAAAATATGAATAATATCATTCTAGATATCAAAAGACTGTAAATGATAAAGATTACTTCAAGAACTTTGGTGTGTCATGACAGTCGATACCTTTCAAGAACAACTTGTCAACAACTCTTGTCGAACATTTGACAGGTAAAAAAGATCGAGGATAAGTTACCTTCGACGTTTAAGAACACCATTAAAGTATTATCTAGTTTTGACATTTCTCATTCATCAAAGATTGTGAAACCTCGAAAATTTTTACACATCAAGAATTGTTAAACTTCAACAGCTCCCAACTGTCAAGGACAGCTTTGAGCAGCGAAAAATTTATCAATTTTGATGAGTTTTAACTGTCAAAAGAATATTTCCAAACATTCTTTTGAATAAAGGTATTCTCCATGCCACCAACTTATAAATCACAATACATAAGTTTTCAAAACAAGACAGCTGACATATAAATCAAGCTCCCCTTAACCAAAAAATAAACATAAGAGGACGGATTCTTATCCCATTGACAATATCTACGCAATATATATCTAAAAGAAACAATTAATTATAGTTCAAACTTCAAATACAAAGTAAAAGCCAATCAAGCAATCCACATGCATCTTTTGCCTATTGATGTTTGAGTTGTTAAAGATGTAGGCCCAATCGAAACAATTCTCTCTGTGCCAACAACAACTCATCATTAAACTCTCAATCTACAGAATCTGATCATCTCATAAAGGGGAAACAAATCTTAGCGATATTATATTTGCAATAACAAAGAGTATAAAGTGTATTTCTCCACTTTTGAAGCAGTGTTCATTTATTCTGTATAGAAGCTAACCAAATGGAAATTCATAGGTTCCCTGCTCCCACTAAAGCAATTGGAGAGAAGAAAGTGTGTGTGGAACTAATCAGGCTGCGATAGAGATGGGAAAAAGAGAGATTCTAAGAATAGAGGATCCACAAGACTTTGCATTATTTTCTGCAAAAAAGCATTTGGCTTTTAGCTACACGTTGTTTTCTTTTTCTTTTTCCCCTCCTTTTTCTCTTCCCTTCCCTTTTCTGCTTTGCTTCTACCTTGTATTTATGTGCATAACTGTCAGGTGACAATAATTAAGGTTGGTTTGGTTCTGCCTGTGCAATTGAAATTAAACCCAATCACTCTATTTAGCTTAAATACTCAAACAACTAACATTTGCTCGGTTTCACTAAAGTTCAAGCATGTAAAAATTGAAAAAACCTACTTTTAAACCCAAGCAAATCTTGCTATCTCATTTTTGGGCAAAGCAGCAAACTGAAATAACAAACCTTTTTTGCTTGCTAAACCCAACAAGGGAGCAAGTTTCATTGTATTCCACAAATATTGTCAAGGGAACAATTTTTTAAAATAAACTTTGTGAATAATTTGAGTGATGAAAGAACTGGCACCTATTGAAGGCCGTTAATACTTGGAACAGCTGAACCAGATCTACCACACCCACAAGGAGGAGAAAAAAAAGAAGAAATCCAAACTAGATCTTCAGTACCCTAACTTTTAAGCATATAAGTAAGATAAAGAGAAAGAGACAAATATATATAGCTTTGTGAGGTCTCACAACACCGATACCTACGCAATCTGCTCCAGATTCTTGTTGCTGACATTTTGTTATTCATTAGAAAGTTTGGTCATTTCTCACTGTCCATTTCACCGGAACAGAAATAAAAAGGTTGATCAGGTAGATTTAACTTGAAGGTTTTACTAGTTTAATTCCTCATTTGTCTCTTAGGCTATACCTCATAAGAACCTGACAAGTAAATCTAGCATAAAAGAAATAGAAAGCTGTGAATTTCCCCGAAAACCATATTCTTTGCTTATCTATAGACAACAGTAGTGGAGTGGAAAGGACTGAATGAAGTGCTAAATTGAAGTTTAAGGCTGAAAGTGGTGGGGGAGGGGAGTGGGGGACTATGCATATCTGCAGCAGTAGCTGTCATACATGACAATATTCAATAATGCCATGTTAAAGGAGATCAAGTGGGGTTGTGAAAATAAATCAATAAATAATATAAGAAAGAAAAAAGTTGAAACGATCGGGGAAAATCCCACAAAAAGATACATTTGGATGAATTGTCTAATATCAATGTTCAACTTCACTACCATTTATATGCATCGATGTACTTTTTATACACATTATTTTCGTTATGCTATTCTTCCAAATAACTCTTCTATAAGAAACAAACAAGTATATATCATAAGAAAATAGGGTTACATTGTTTCATATGTTATTTTAAAACATATGGCAGAAGATGTATCTCAAAATTCCTTCAGATTTTAAGCGAAAGCACATCAGAAATACTTGGAAATCAAACCCCGATCTCAAATAACAGATTTTCTCTTTTTTCCTTTTGGTATTTGAACAAATGACATTTTCAGCAAGGAACTCTAGGAGCTAGACAATAAAATGAGGAAAATAAAGTCCATACAATTAAAAGAGGGATTAGTTGCTTCTTTAAGGGACCAGAAACACTGCAGAAATTCCTTTTCAATAAGTTTCCACTCAAAAAAATAAATTAACAAGGAAAATAAATTAGAACTTCAGAACATTTTAGGAAGATATTCAACATTCTTCTCACTTTTGCAGTTGAAAACTACTTAACATCATTACTGAATAAGCTTTTTCCAATAAAGAATGATGGGATTTGACTTTCGTCCACTAATGCAGATATATTTTATTCCTCACTCTCACACGTATCTGCTTTCTCATAAAAATTCCAAGTGGGCAATTTCCAATTTGTTATGTTGTTGAATCAGGCTGCCAATTTCTAATCGTCTAATTGGTCAATTAAAAAAAGAAACAGAGACCTAAAAAGTAATATAAGGTGCATTTCTTGTAGTAAATGGACCATTAGCAAATGGGATAGGCCATTATTCGTGCTTATCACAACTTTCATTTCTCATGATCCTTAATTTTCTATAAATGATACTCGATAAAACAGAATAGTAGTTCCTCTCAATGTAATTGGCAATAGTTCAAGGAACAGTACGGTTAGTGCTAATCATACATGTCTAGTGCTTTTCCATTGTCTAAGGTTAATTTTAGGGAAAGTAAAAGTCCAAATGTATCAAACGAAAAAAAGGCTGGCTGGTTTAGCCTTTGAGTGGCAACACATTCATAAAAAACAGTGCTTGTGCAGAAGGAAAAGGTGTCAATGCTTAAATCAACCAAAAAGATAGGAATATGATATAATGAGAAAAAAGAAATAGCGAAATGCCTTTCATATTGAAATGATACATTCAGGATCAAGGAATTAGGTGTGACATTTAAAATGACCAAAGGTCTGTACATTAAGAGACCCGGGAGATATGCCTTGTGAAACGGAAGTTCTTAGGAATAATTGTACAGAACTATGTTATAAAGCACAATATTATTCTACGTGGTAAGTATAAACCAATACAAATGAAACAAGTTGAACTGGTATACATACTGTTCTTTTCCTTGCCAGATAAATTTGGTCCATGAATTAACTAATCCAAAACTATTCAATAGCTTTTGCATAATTTTCAGGTAATTATGAGTTTTTAGTCAAAGTGGCCATAAATATATTCAAACCAGTATCATCTGAAATCATGCAATCTCAGCACCATGATTTAACATGCTTGTCTCATAAAGGGTGGTGGATATGACTTCACTCTTTCATTTCTCTTTTCATTTTTTGACACTTGCAGAATTTCTTGGATTTTATAGTAATTGTTTTAATTCATAATGCGTTAGGAACAGAGTTGAGAAATCCATCTTTGCCATAAATGGATGCTCTATTTATGACATGACACCAACGACTAAAAATTTCATGAACTTTTAAACAGAAGAACCCACTAGGCAATAATAACCAAGCTACAATCTACCCCAAAAAACAAAATATGTATGGCATTACAATACTTCTAGGAGAAAAATAAGTTTGGTAGCTTCTGGTAAGAAGGGCAAGAAAGTGCTAGTTACACCCTATAGTAATTTCCAGCACATAATCACATTACATAGTCATATGAATGCCAAAGGTGGTGATAGCTACTACGCCTTTGTCAAAATTATTTAAGCTTAAAAACTCAAAAATAAAAAGACAATGATGTGTGTCATGGAAAAAATAGCATCGACATTATGGCATCAACAAGCTTGATCATTGCATTTAAATAAAAAAAAAAGACTTAGCCCATACAAAGAATGTGTTCAAAGAATTAACGGGCGTTATGGTCAGACCTTGTACGAGGCAAAAGCATTGATACTCCTCACCACTTTGAAAAGTCTTAAATGACAACGTAAGTATTCTTTACAGAGTACTATGGGGGCAACCAACACCTAGAACCTGTTCGGTTCATTATCCAAAAGCAAGTTTATAAAATATTGAAAACAGAAAAAAAACAAAGTTATATTTCACAACTAGATTAACTTTTAGTATCTAAATTTACATTCATCAATTAATATATTGTTCAGACTTAAGCTATTTTCTTTATCAAATTCGTTTAATAAAATAATCCAGATTCCAGAACACAATAATTTATAAAAATAAAATTTTCCCAAACTCATCAAACTTTCTAATATATAATCTGAGATAGTTTTCCACAATTCCCTATTCCAATGCCTCAATCAAACACATTTTACTCTATTCAATCTATTCCATGTTTCTGAAAACAAAAAAATTATTTTTGAATCACAATCAAACACCATCCCTTTCCCTACCCAAAACTGCATAGGATATATCTGTCTTCTAGTTACTGTAATTGTAAATAATTTCTACCACATAAACGCCGTCCCCCAAAAAAAAAAAAAGGTATGACAGAAATAACAAAAAGTAAACTAATAAAGTATATTCCACAAAGCACGTAATTTAAGCCCAAAGTTGATTAATCGCACCAAAGCCTAGCCTAATCTCTACACAGTGGAAGAACCTCTCCCCACTAGTATCTTCTTTTCTAAATTTGTACAGAAATATGCTGGTAGTCTGCTTTTTGCCCCACCCATGACCCATATGCTTTATAATGCTGCAATCACTACAAAAGTCAAGCAAATAATCAATAATATCCCCCCCCCCGCCCGAAAAAAGAACAGGAATTGCAATTATGTGATTATGTATGTGGGGATGCCTATTACTCAGTAGGAGATGCGTATGACTCTGTCCAAGCACAGGAAGCGATCCCTGAACTGTGGAAAAAGTTTTTTTTTTTCCACGTAAAGAAGAAATTATAAAGATGTTGAATTTTCAATGGGGAAGGAAAAAAGAAATTAAAGATTATAAAATAAAAAGGGAAACAAGAGGGGATATTGGGGTGGGGTTGGTGGGTGTCTGAGTGGACTGCTTTGTCTTGGCCTTGGATTTTACTATAAATAGTAAATCTGTGCGTTTGTGCTTAGTGGGGAACCTGGTTCTTACTCCATTAACTTCCCTGATTTAGACAGATTTTCACTTTCACTTCAGAGTCCATTGTTTACAGGGATTTCTTCTTCGGTTTTCAAAAGTTTGGCCACTCCAACATGGCATTTTAGTCCCGGATGCGAGATAAATCGAACCTTTCTTTTCAACTTTCGAAGTGGTTAAGTGAGACAAGAACAAAAGGACAAAGAACGAATCAAATAATAACTTCGACAGAAAAGAAATCCTCTGATTCCAGGGGTAGATATTTTCCAGTAAAATTCGCATATAAAATTCCATTCGATGTTAACAGGTATAGGATCAAAGACGCAGCAGAAGCTTCAATTAGATAACCCTAAGAAAAATAAACAAAAACGGACTAACCTTCTTGCTTCCTCGTATAGCAGAATTTGACATCTTCCATCTCCGTTTCCATTCCATCGTCAAAAAGTTCTGCCAAATTCAAATTGCTGGAGCAATTTGCATCGCCCGTTTGCTGGAATCATCTGCTAGATTGGAACAAATTCACTAGAGGAAGCAAATATGTTCAGTCAGTAACGATCATTTGTCATTTTTCTTTAGCTGATTATGTTGTGTGGAACGAAGAACGGTTACAGAAATAGTAGCCAATTTGAGTGATACGGTCGTACAGTTAAAATTTACAACTCGTCTATCTTATTACCAACTTTCTTTTTAACTACACACGCTTCTTGCAGGAGAATTAGCTTTTTTATTTTTTTTTATTTTTTTTTTTGGTGTAACTTGTAAGGTGGATATTCAAAGGGGATTCGAAGTCCTTGGTTAGATACAAATATCTGAAGAACTATATTTTGGTTAGCAACACAAGTACGTATAGTTGAACTAAGATTATATTTGTCAAAATTTTATTGATTTAAGAACATTGGTGGAATTGGTGATGAAGAAAATATTTAAAATATTACCAAGGGTAAATATGAAATTTGAAGTATATAAACAATAAATAAAGAAAATCTTCGAGATAAATTTAATAATGGCAACAAAAATTTAAAAGAGCAAGTTAAAATTAATCATAATTTTAACACTAAACTAATTCAAGCATAATTTAATAGATAAAACATGTATTGTCACCCCAAAACAATAATGTCAATGGACTAAACTTAAAAGAAAAAAAATTATGTCAAACTTGAGCATAGTTGAACGAATTAAAATATATATCATCAAGGTGGCACTAAAATTTCCATAAATTTCAAATTGAAAGCTAGAATTTTGGGTCATAGAGGCTAAAAGATGAGTAAGAAAGAACTTGGGCTGTAGAAGAAGAGCCCAGCCCATACTTGACAAGGATGAGTCTCAAGTCCAATAGTGGGCTTGGTATCCAAAACCCTTCTCCATGTATACCCAAAAAGCATGGTTTTTTCCCTTTTTGAAAATAAATAAATAAATAAATAAAAGCATAAGCCATAAGATCAAATACAACATTAAAAGAGAGAGAGAGAGAGAAAAAAAGGAATGGTGAAGCAGTTATGATGGTTGTTGTGTAAAAATTGAAAAAGGAAGGAAGAAGTAGAAGAGAGGATGATTAAGAGACCCACATGGGGTATAGAGTCAAATCACTGCTCAAATTAAAGTTAGCTGATAATGAACATTGTGTGTTCATGTTGCTGTTGTTGGTGGAACTCCATATGTAATGTAATGTTGTGGCCTGTGGGTTCTACTTCCCCATGTGACTCTCTCCATCATCACTTCATTCTCTTCTACCCTAATTCTTCTCGTTCGACCACGAATCACATTGTCGGATTGATCGAGGTTCACTATTTTTGGTTGTAACAGATGCTCTCTCACTCATGTTTTCATTTATGCGAGGATTTCAATTATATATGAATGACCGGTTTGAAGACTATTTTGTTTTTGTTTTTTTCTTGTCTTTTTGAAAATAATTAAGCTTATAAACAATTAAACACGACTTCAACGCATCCATTTGTTTTGTTATCTATTTTTTAAAAAAATATTTTAAAAGTCTATGCGAATAGTTTCAAAACTTTTGTTTTTGAAATTTGGCTAAATATTTAGATGTGTTTTATAAAATGGTGAAAAAAATTTATCGAGAAACAAGCACAACTAATTTTTAAAAGCATAAAATGAAAATTGAAAATTTTATCAAACAAGATTTAATATTTGGAACGTGATTTAAATGACAATTGTATTAGGATGATAATATTATCCATTTTGAACTTAAGATTACATAAATTGTTTTTCTACTCTACTCAAATAAGACATCATTTGATTAGATACAATGTTATCCACTCGGTAATTAACTCATATTGTTTTAAGTTTAACTCATATCATACCTTGAGATTCAACTTTTAATCTCAAGGTATGATAATATATGTGTTTTATCCGTTGAGTTATACTCGTATTGACCTAAGTCATATATTTGTCAAGACAATAAAATATTTGTACTTTTCAGATTTGGATATTCTAAAATTTATATTAAATGTACCGACAAGAAGATGAAAATAAAATTTTATGATAATTTGACAATCAAAATATAAGATTATGATAAAATAAGTATAAAAATTCAAGAGCATAATAACGATAGTCAAATAAAATAAACACTAGCAATAAGTATCAAATTTAGAATATACATCCATGTCCAAGTCAAATTTAATTTCAACTTTCAAAAGTTTGAAGTTGTTCCTCAAAACCACCTCACATTTATAAATTATTTACATATAATATTACTTTTCTTATAATAAAAAATATAATATTACTTGATATACATTAATTTTGTTAAATAATATTTAAAGTTATTGTCCAATAATTTGAACTACAAATTTTCAAAAGTCATAGTCAAACATGAATTATTTTTACATTAAATACAATACTATTTATAGTGTGAAATAATAAATTATCGTGCATTATTATCATAGACATTGACTTTAAATACATTCGGTTCATATCTTATTTGCAAGCATTTGTTTTACATTAAATTGAATATTCAAATACTATTTTTTAGTTGGAAGTCCTAAATTTGAATCTCAACCTCCACATATTGTTGTATTATAAAAGATATTATTTTTTGAATATAACAAATTGAGAGTATGAGAGTTAGAACCTTCCACCTTAACAAGAGAAATGATACGAGCTATGTTAACGTTTGGTAACAAAAAAAATATAATGTAAAATAATTAATATTCTACCACTCATTTATCTCTCTCAAAAAAACACATCATCACAATATTTTAATTTTTTTAGTTTAATCAATTTCTAGAGCGTTTGAAATCTCCAACTGCCTAATTTTATAATCAATCTTTCAAAAGATTATATAAATTAAATATGGATATCTAATCTCAAAAGATGCCTTCAAGATTACAACTTAATGGTTGCCATTTGTTTTATATATACACACACTTAACTTATGAATCCAAAAATTGACAAAGAATCCAAGTCTTGGAGGTCCATTTGTTGGATATTAATTAACTTGGAAAAGAGATATTATTTATGAGTAAACTTTAATTTGAATATTAGAAAACCATTACTGAAGACTATTAAATTATGACCAAAGTAATAGTCAAACCATGTGAAATAATTAATATTAATTAAATATTTAGCATTTGTTTACTAACTAATTTTATCTTTTAAATTGATCTCTTTTCTAATTTAAATCTTTATACCTATGAAGAAAAATCGAAAATTAGAACTGCACTTGAATTATACTTCAAATAAATTCTAGATAAACTTAAAATATATAAAACAAAAAGATAATTTTTAAAATAATAACACATAATAAATTATGCAACATGGGAGTTATATTTCTTTTTAGTTGTTCTCATTGATGACTTGTATTTTACAGAATAATTGAAATGATTCCTTCTTCCAAATCTATGAAATTATAAACCATAAATTCATATATCAAACTAACTCTAATTAGCAAATCTAATTTCTCAATACTAAAACAACGAATATAAGATTTCAAGGTATGATTAAATATATAATATAAGTTAAGAAGATTATGATAAAACATCCCATCCAACACAAAATCAACTTTAGAATTCAAATAAACCAATGACAAATTAACAAAAAAAAAATAAATAAATAAAAGAAAAAAGAAAAAGAAAAGAAAAAGGAAAAAAGAACCAAATAATTAATCCCCTATACATAATCACATGGAAAAAGAAATTAAAAAGTGAGAAAAATAAGAAAAAGCTGTTTGTGTGACTGTGACTGTGAGTGATTTAAAAAATAAATTAAAATAAAATAAAATAAAAAAGGCTCAGCGGTGGGTGTAATTGCTTCATCACACCCACCCCCCAAAAAGTCGGTTGCACCTGCTAAATTATCCCCCTACGATCCTCTCTCAATTATTATTTTTCAGTTCATTATTATTTATTCACTGTACCATATTCATATTCATGTCATTATTATTTTTTTTTAAAATTCCACCGATATATAATTTTTTTTCTAAAAAATAGAAAAATCGCAAGTTAATTTTTTTCCTAAAAAGTTATACTTAATATTTAATAGATTTTTGAACTTTCAATTTTGTATTATATCCCTATCTTTTTTTAGCAAGTTTTTAAGTTTTCAATTTTGTACGTATATAAATTTAAAATTTCTTTAATAAGTTAGAGACTTATTAAATATAAACTTGGGAGTTAAGAGTCGTATTAGACATAAATTAAAACTTTTTAAAATGCAAGAACTTGACACAAAATACAAAATACAAAATCTAAAATTCTATTGGATATTTTTCAAGGGACTCCTGTTAAACATAATTTTAAAAATTTATATAATTTAACTAAAAAAATGTTTCAACTGCCTAGTTCGAACATGTTTCTATTTAGTTTATGTTTTCGTGATTAATCCGTCTAGCTGTTTGTCCTATCACATTATTTCAGTTGAATTTTATCTAATGATGTATTAAATAGGAGAATAATCTAATGTTTAGGATGTAATTGAAATTTAAATAGGTTTGAAAAGGAAATTTATATTGAATCATAATTTCGAAAATGGAAGAAAAAAGGGTATTAGAGAATAGTGGTAGATGAGTTGTAATTTCATTTTCAGTTGGTAAAAGAAGCACATAAGTCTTTGTTAGTGGGAGTGGAATAGTTGATGTCCTTGTTCTGAAATCATCCATATGGCTTTTAGACCTTAATTATATGATTGTGTTGTAATGCAATTCCTTTGCATATTTATTGTTAGCATTAAATTCCTTTACATTTTAATATATTTTTTAAAAAAATTATAATATTTTATTAAATTAAAAGTTTTAGGTGGTTCAACTTTTAGGTCTATTAAACTCTAAAAAAAATTTAAAAATATAAATGAGTTATTAGACACAAAATTAAAATTTTAAGAATTTACTGGATACTTTAGTTCATGGAGTTTTTAAACAGAATCTTTAAAACTTTAAACACTTACTCAATACAACTCTAAAATTTTAGAGACTAGAGGTTATATTTTAACCTAAATTATACCTTTCGCTTTCGTACTTTTACGATTATTTCAATTCATTATTTTCCATACTAGCTATTATTAATATGGGTAGGAACAAAAATTATTGGTCACATCGATACTATGTCAGTCAAATCACACTTATAATATGAGTACCATCAATTTTTTCATTATATCTAATACTATTTGTGAGTGGCAATATGTTGCCAACATGAATATAGCTCACAATTAAGATATTTTATTTTTTCTTTAAGGTCGGAAGTTCAAACTCCCATCTCCTAAAAAAAAGAGCGATAAATTTATATTATTAAAATTTTTATACAACGTAATGGTTAAAGTCTCTATGCTTCCACATTATTGCATTTGTGATACTTTTAGAAAAATAAAACTTGATATTAAAATTGAAGTAAAGCGTTTTTACCTCGAATATAATTATGGGGGGAGAAAATTTTAACCCAAACGAGAAAAGTGGAAAAGATTAGAAAGACGTTGAAAAAAGAAGGTTCTATGAAAAATAAATATAAACAATTCAACACCATTTATTTATATTTTTTAATAAAGAGGAAGAATCAAAAAAAGAGGAAGAAAAAAGGGAATGGAAAAGTTAAAATGAATTTGGTCCCCAACGACTACTAAATCTTGTCGCCAAACAATAATAATAAAGAACAATCATTACACGTGTAAGGCAGTGATTCACCCACGTGGACAACCTTACGAAACACAGAGAAGTGGGACCCACCAAATAAAACCCCTTAAACCCAAGGCTAATCACTTTTCAAAGTTGGTATTCTGTAAGACAGCGGCTCCCTTCGCTCGCTTCAGTTTCACAGAACACTGAAAAGGAAAAAAAAGGAAAAAAAAAAACAGAGGAGAGAGAAAGAGAGAGTGGAGGGGAGAGAGAGAGAGAGAGTGGAGAGAGAGAGTTCTCTCCAGCATGCAAACTTCAAGTCGACCCAAAAAAATTTCCACTTTTACTCTTACAAATCTTCTGAATTACCATTGTGCGTCGTCTCTCTCACACCCCACCACGAATTTCTCTCAAAGTTTGAGCTTTGTCGTCCATGGCCGTATCAGACGTGGAAGCAGTGCTCGAATTCCTCAGAAAAAATGGATTTTCAGAGGCAGAGTCCGCTCTCAGAAGGGATGTGGTCGAAAAATCCGAATTGGGTTCTTTTGATTTTGAGAAATTCTTCTTCCCCATGGTCCCTCCTCCACCTCCGGTCAGAATTCCGTCCACTTCCCGGAAATTGGCCTCTCTTGCCACCGGTGACGGCGACGGCGACCATCATTCTAGATCGAACTCTGTTTCCTCCGACGACGAATTTGTCAGCTTGAGGTCTTCTACCTCCGACGTTTGCTCTTCTGGTAATGATCTTAATCAAAATTGGTCAGAGTTGAAGGTCCTGAGTAAAATTTTAAGATTCTTCACTTGTTAAAAAATTCAAAATAGTATCTTGAAGTTGTCTTAATCATATTGAGTAAAATTAGTGTATTCTCTTGATTTCTTCTGTTGTTAGATGATGAGAGAGAGAGAGAGAGAACACTTTTTTTTTAATGTTCTTTCATGTTTAGGCAAATCCATGATCCTATATTTGGCAAACTCAAACTGGGTATAGCAATTGGCATCTAGGTTGTTCATAATCTCTTCCAATGTTGCAGAATTCATCAATCCGTATGGTATTCCATCAGATTCTTCTTCAGATATTGCCTCCCAGTTCGACACGGCCCGGGATTACCACGAATTCGATTTGCGAAATGATCTGCTTTGGTACGATGAGAAAGAGGATGTGAATTTCATGACACCCTCCTTTGAGGGTCAGGATTTCTTTGGCTGTCCAAGTGAGGATAAGTTTATAATGACAACTGAGAGAGATGAGCAATTTAGTAGCTCGTCAGCTCCAGAGAAGTCGATTCTCTGTCGTGGAGCTCCCTCGAGCGATGAAAGTTTGATCGAGGTCACGGATCATCCTTATCGTGTCGATAGATATAAGCAACTAGAAGGAGGCTTTGAGGGGTTGTCTCAGGGTTGTGGTGCATATAGTTGTTCAATCCCTTTCTGCAAATGCTGTGATACCAATGGAGAGTTCTATAGCCAGAAGTCTGCAGATTGTAGTTATCTGAATCCAAGTTTTAACGAATCCGATTCCAATGTTTTCCACTTGAAAGTCATTAAAGACATCACCGCTAACTGTGATTTAGCTCCTTGTCGAGATTATTCGACTGAAATACATTCTACATCTAACTTCCTTGAAGGGTTTGAAGATCAGAACGACTCCGAAAATAAGGTCCTCGAGAAAAGTTCTACACTTAAGGAAACCAATAGCACTAAAGTCGGAAGTCATGGGGAAGTAGAGGATGAAGAACATGAATCCAAACCAGTTGCAGACAGAGATGGCGTTGCTGCCGACGAGCTTCTGATGTGTAATATCAACGAGGATGAATTCGAAGTATTTGATCTGAGAATTATACATAGAAAGAACAGGTTGGCTATTTTTTTTCGCTAAAGTCCAACTAAACAATTAGGCATTTGATTGCTTTTACATTTTTAAGTATCTATAGAACTTCATTACAAGTGAACAGAAATTAATTGTTACAAAAAGTCTTCACTTTCTACTCTCTGCTTTGATAGATATTTTAAAGCTTGTGTATTGCAGGTTGAATGAGTTGTTCTCATGTATTATGCAATCTACAGGACTGGGTTTGAAGAGAGCAAGGATTTGCCTATTGTGCTAAATACAGTCCTTGCAGGCAGATACTATGTAACCGAGTACCTCGGATCGGCCGCTTTTAGTAAGGTCGTTCAAGCACACGATCTGCAGACGGGAATAGACGTTTGCCTGAAGATCATTAAAAATGACAAAGATTTTTTTGACCAGAGCTTAGATGAAATCAAACTTCTAAAGCTTGTTAACAAACACGACCCAGCAGATCAGTGCCACATTTTGCGGCTTTACGACTACTTTTATCATCAGGTCTGTTTTATCAGTTGCCCTCGAGCTCAATTTGAAAATTCGACCTTAGTATTGGTAAGGTCCACTCACTCTTTTTTGTAATGAAAATCTGACAGGAACATCTCTTTATTGTTTGCGAACTACTTCGAGCAAACTTATACGAATTTCAAAAATTCAATCAAGAATCCGGTGGAGACGCTTATTTTACATTTCGCAGGTTGCAGGTATATATGGTCATTTAGGCTAAGACGCTACGCTTTCTCGAGTTTAAGACTAATAAAAATGTTTCCGATTTTCTCTCGACAGATCATTACACGCCAATGTTTGGAGGCATTGGAGTACTTGCATCATTTGGGGATCATTCACTGTGATCTAAAGCCAGAAAACATTCTTATTAAGAGTTACAAAAGATGTGAGATTAAGGTTATTGACCTCGGAAGCAGCTGCTTTCAGTCGGATAACTTGTGCCTATACGTGCAGTCTCGATCCTATAGAGCTCCCGAAGTGATTCTCGGCCTCCCGTACGATCCAAAGATTGATTTGTGGTCTCTTGGTTGTATCTTGGCTGAGCTATGCTCTGGAGAAGTAAGCTTTTCTTACTGATATCCTCGTAAACCTCTGCTTCTAGCAAAACCGATCGAGTTTATATGTTTGATTTGTTTTCAGGTATTATTTCCAAATGACGCAGTTGTTATGATCCTTGCCCGTATGATCGGAATGTTTGGTCCCATTGACATGGAGATGCTGCTAAAAGGACAGGATACACACAAATACTTCACCAAAGAATATGATCTTTATTATATGAATGAGGTTTGGTTTCAGATTCCCTTAGGAATGAATTTAAAGCATAATTAACGTACTTTTTGTGCCATCAAGATATTTGATGATGACTGAGAGTTTCAATTTTAGGAGACTGAACAAATGGAATTCATCATCCCTGAAGAGTCCTCCTTGGAGAATCATCTGCTGGTTTCCGATGCCGGGTTCATTGATTTTCTTACAAACTTACTCGAAATTAATCCCGAAAGACGACTAACTGCAGAGGAAGCCCTGGCACATCCATGGCTTTCGCAGTCGTACGAATAACCATTCTCATCAAATTCTTTGAAGGCAGATTCATTACCCACCAAATAAATTAAAGAAAGTAATAAGAAGAAGAGGGAAAAAGAGTTGGCTTCAAGTTTTGCTTTTCATACATGTATATGCATGGAGGTTTGTTGAATTTGTATATTTGTGTCTTTTTCGAGTACAGATGGAGGAAACCCCTTTTTCAATTTTTTGTTTTTTTTGTACATTTCTGAAGAATTTTTGGAACTGATTTGATTCAATGAGTTTGAAACTTGTCAATTTAGTGATACAGAATAGAGCTTTAATTGGAAATGAAATTATGGTTTAGCACGTGCTAAGTGGGAAGCAAAAGCCGAAAGATGAGCTGCTGAGGGAGACGTTGCATGTGATTTTGCTTTGAACCAAAGACTGCGACCAGACACAAAGGTTTCTGTCTTTTTTTTTTTTTTTTATTTTATTGTTTGGCGGATTTTGACTCTGAACATTATGAGGAAAAAAAAGGTCAAAGCACTATAAAAAGCTTCTTTTTTTTTTCACTCCAGAAGCATTAGTGGCTTCTTCTATTATTGGATCTTTTTTTTTCAGACTAGTAACAGCTCACCACTCGCAACCACACCTCTGGTTTTTCAAAGATGAATTTAGGGAAATATAAATTAAAAAATGGAATTCATTGTTTTCTTCTAAATTTGAGGTCATTAATATGGTGGGTATAGTAATTTCATTAATGCTTTGAACTGAATAGAAACCACTTAACTGCATCTCCTATATCTTAGCGTATCTCTCACCTAAAATCTTGAAAGTAACTATAAAGATGGTCACACGATTCTAATGGTCATCTTTTCTTTCAAATAAATACCTAGAAGGTGAAAGGAGGTACGCAAATTTTGATTCGAGAGCTTTTATTCTCTTGAATCACATACTGACAAAACCTTCGGACTGTTAACTCCTTGTTTCACATGATCTTCTTCGAGTGTTCGGAGAGACATTCATGTTTTAGCCAATTTTTAGTTAAACAATTATCATTTTAAGTTTTTCAATAGTCATAGATTTGCCCAGGTAAAATTCTCTTTATACATGCTAGAAAGTTATAGAAACTCAGTTCAAATATAATTTGTCACTTTACATATTGAAATGAATTTGGACGCTCAAAATGATGCTCAAATGAATGAAAATTAAAGCAATTCATTCTTTAACCTGAAATCACTTCTAATAAAGCAATTAAATTTTGAATTGGAATCAGTCTTCATCGTTTATTTAAATGTTATTTATGTCAATATTCTTTTTTTTAACAAAAAGAAAGTTACTATTCAGAAAAATGCACTCAAAGTCGAACAAAGTCTGGTAAATGGTCTAGATATTTAATTTACAATATTCTTTTACTTTTTATTCTAAAATAAAACACCAAAAAATGTATTTAAAAAGGAGAGATGTGATTATAAAGGGCAGAAATTACATTATTATCCATAAAACAATTCATTACAGAGCTCTACTACAAGCTTTTCCACAAAGAAAAGCTAAAGAATGTTTAAAACAGAGGAAGAAATCATGCTAATATCCTCTTTTGTACAAACTCAAAAATGTAAGTTCGGGATATAAACAAAGCGAGTATAAATTTTCATGAAAGACTTCTAAGTTAAGAAGAACATTGAGTTGAGACATTAGATTCGAGGGTACCTCCTCTGTCTCTGCTTTTCAGCTTCATTCATCCAGTCGTTGAGCCATAACAAGCCCTTGTAACCATATGATGATATCGAGACGACGGCGATCAAGAGAACGACTAATAGAAGAATATACTTCAATGCGGCAAAGAATTTCTGTTAACAAGGATTTTAGTTGAACCGAGTAAGAAAATGAATCAAGGATGTTCCTCATATTTTACAGAATAACCCCAAAGTGAAAGTACCTGTAATCTTGAGATCTGCTCAACTTCTTGCACCGAGTCACGCCTTCTTTTTCGCTTTGGTACTTGCTTTTTCGTGTCCAGCTCCTTCGCCTTTATCCCAAGAAATTGAACATGATGAATTTAAAATTAGTAATAGGCCATTCCATTTCCTTCATACTCAACGTTATATAGTCTAAAACCATTGAGCTTCTATTTCAACGGTTAACTCTGCGGTTTCTTCTCCATGTTACTTTTTTTAGAGGAAACTGAAAATTTAATTAAGCATAGTATACAAAAGACAAATTTTTGTAGTATAGTACGAAAGACATTACCCCAACGACTTCAGGTTTCCGATGAGATAATTCCGACTCAACAGCCTGTACTTTACTTTTGCAGTCAGAACCACAAGGTAAAAGCCCATACCCATATTGGGTTTTCGGTATGTCTTTCGGGTCACGAGTGGCTTTGCGATAGGCTGCTTGCACATCCTTACATAGCCACTCTTTTTTCAAGGTTTGGCATCCGCAACGAACAGTAACCTTCAAAAGATTTGAAATGCAATTTGGATAAATGTTTGTAGATGACATTGTGCATCCACAATCATAAGATATTCATATCCACGTCATCAGCGTTTAACTAAATATGGAAGATAAACATGTAGGTACCTTCTTTGAACAGTTATCCGGTGCTGGGCATTCCCCAGGATGACAAGTTTCTGGGCATAGATGCGTGCAGTAGGGCAACTTTCTGCAACAACAAGCACCTCCAATGTTGTTTAAGCTTTGTTTTTTGATAGAAAAACTATCCCTAACAAGAAATAATTTATATTTGATTACCTGTGGCAAGGTCCACCGCATGACCGTACAGCCATTTGCTTCTCCTGGGACAAACTAATGTAATACATACACTCAAAAACATGGACCATTGAACTGCAGTGACATGAACGTTTCAGAAGCACTTTGCAAGGGGGACAATCTCCAGGATGGCACTTTAAGGGACATGGATGTGCACATTTTGGCTTCCTCTCCTGGACAACATAAATTGCGGAGATTTAAGAAAACTAATTATTCTCAGGCTGAAGAGTAAAGTTACATAAAATTTTCTGCTGCGGAAAAGAAACTACAGTGGAATTGAGTTCACGTCAAAGATGAAAAAAGGGCAGAACAGAAAATCGCACAATAGTTAAAAGGTGAACATGTTAACCTTTTCACAAGGAAGATTACACTTTTCGCAAGGCTCGCTCAAGTCTCGTAGGGATGATGATGGATGTTGTTGGCTCTTGAGCGCGTGACAAATTTTGGTACAATAATGATTGGTACAGGGGAGAGGATTTCCACACAAATTATCACAAGAAAATAGTGTCCTATTTGAGCAGACCATCTGAGGTTTAACAAAAAAAAAAAAGTGAACAAATATTGACGATAAACAAGCCTTGGATGACCAAAGTCAGCTCAAAGGGAACTTGCAAGAAATACTTCAAGTTTAAATCCAAGGACTGCTTGAAACCTACAACTAACCATTCTCTCAGCACCGATGTGTTGACCAATGCACGGCCTCCACACTAACTCTGGGCACGGAGGACATAGAGAACCAGGAGTGGGTTCCTCTGGATGAAATGCCTTCTTTTTCTTTGGTTTCAATGTATATTCTGGTTTTGGAGGAGGCTTAGGACCATGGCATCTAAATAAAGGAAAGGAGATAAAAAGGTCAAAAGAGTTAAAAGAAGAGAAATACTCCAACAGATTTAAATCCCATCATTGTCTTAAGAAAAGATTCAATTATCAAAAGGTTACTAACCTTAATTGGCATTTATGACCACATGGATATTCTTCTTCACAAATCCTGCGACATGGGGGACATGCTCCATAGTGGCATTTGTGTGGCTGAATACAGACATTTAAATTGTCAAGAAAAAGTTCTCTTTGAATATGAGTGTGATCAACTGTGTAGCGTGACTGTGATAGCCTACCCCATGCCACCATACAAACGATAATTGATGATTCATGCTTTTTTAGAAGTTGTCATTTTCAAAGGAAAAATGAAAATTACATCCATGTGGATTTGAATGGGAACCAGATCTTCAACCATGCAATGCGTTTCAGGCTCCAAATCATGGAAGTCAAGTAAATTTTTAAGAAGAGGAAGAAACTATTTTGAGCATTAGGAATACAAGTATCCTCCGAAGAAGGATTGTGACATATTTATATTCACATAATATTTCAACAGAATAATATATATAAATCACAAGAAACCAACTCATAGCACAAAATTACCTTTAGACTTAATCTATGACTGCATAGAGGTGAAACAAGACACCGTTTAGGACATTTTGGAGGCTTTTGATCCATCTCAGTGCCGCAAGGAACCTAATATAATTAGCAATACGGATGAACCATTCAGATTACAAATATTACAAGCACAAATATTGGCAACAGATCTAAAAAAAATATATGACAGTACAGCTCTCGAAAATATCTTTTGTAAAGCCTGATAATATCAAAGTTAATTATCATGTTACAGTTAATATAAAATCAAGCACACAAAACTATAGGACCCACGCTACTTGCCAAAGTCTAGAGCTTAAGCCTTAGCGGACCCTATAACCAAGAGAAACCAGACCACGATGATGTTTTCAGTCCAAGCGATAAATACACAATCCTTTGGCTGCAACTTACGGAAGTACAACATGTCTCACTTATTCATTCAAGAGAAATTTGAAAAAGAAAAATTATGAACAAATTTTAATTTCATTTCTTCAGCTCCAAGTTTCATATAACAGAAATTAGCCCAAGCAGATAATAACATAACATAAAATGAAACAGGATACCATAAGGCAAAAATCACTTGGTATGAAAATTAAAGTACAAACGTTTCACCTCAAAGTGTGTCTCGCCACATGCACACGATATTGTTACCATCACTGGACAAGGAGCGCAAGGACCTCTGCAGTACCAACAAATTGATTATTTTCATTGAGATCAGTAAAATATAGTTCTATCTGATTAATATGCCGCAGGAGAATCGTTCAAAAATAGCTTAACAATAAATCTCTAAATTATTTCTAAGAGTCGGTTATCCTATGAACAGGGCATAACTCTTTCAGACAAAAAAAAGGGAATAAAACATCAGAATGAAGTTCCAGAAATCATTACAACATTAGTACTTTAAACGTACCTATGACATGGGGAGGGACATTTGTGGTTCTTACATCGCAGCCTCCTGCCACAGATCTAAATTTTTTAAAAAGTTAATAATCTTCCAGAGAATGAAGAACTGAATATAAAATCCAAGGACAGCAATAGAAACCTCTGAGCAGGGCGGGCAGTCACCATCACAGCAGCGGCGTCTACAAGCATGGCGTCCACAGTCTCGCATTCTCTGGCATTTCCTCTCACATGCCAAATCTTGATAGCAAGGAATCTACTCTAGACTTAGTAACAACATTCTAAAATCTCAAAACTCACTGATGATTGAACTTCTTTTAATTTTTCATTCCAATTACCACAGCATTAAAAGTAAACACTAAACAGAGATATATTTTTTTTAAAAAAAATACCTCTTTCCTCAAGCTTCCACACCTGCAGGACTTGAAGACAACAATTCTGCAAGTTCCAATACATGGGCCGCGGTGACATCGCTCTGGACACCTATGGAAGCCACAAGCAAGCATCTTATCACAAGTGGCCCCACACAATGGAACAGCAACATCACAAGGCATTCCTTCATGTGCTTTCTTCCCACAAGGGCAAGTTCTTCTCCCCTTAAACGGACACTGCCCACACTCTCCAGAGTGACACCCTTCATTGCAAGAATGTTTCCCACATCCCAGCAACTTATTGCATTCATTATCACAACGAAAATTCCGATCCCAGCATTCCCTCTTCTCCATGGTCTTCCCACATTGACATTTAAATACACCTTGAATGCGACACGGGGGACAAGAACCGTCGTGGCAAATTTCCACGCACTTGTGCCTCCCACAATCCAACGCTTTCGAGCAAACATTGTTACAAGAAAAATTCTTAAACCCACACCGTCGCGCGTCCTGAACTGACCCACAATAGCAACTCGCCTGTACTATCTTTGGGCATGAGGGGCAGGGACCGGGGTGGCACAGGAGCAGGCAATGGTGACCACAATTGTGTTTCAATGGCCTTCCGCATACCTCACCGCAGGAATGGGGTAAAATCCATGGATCATCGCTTGGCGGGTTTTCCAATTTCCCACAAAAACAGAAGTACCTCTTAGGGATCGAAGATTTGGAATACTCACCTCTGCATTTGGGACAGTTCCACCCAGAGTGCTCGTCAGGGTTATCAGGGGAGACGAGAGCGCGCGTGGCAGCCCGGGCGGCGGCCAAGTCCGAAGCCTGRCGAGCCCAACTCTGAATGCAGAAAAGATGGAAGACGGCAAAACAGAGTGAAGAACAGGACCAAGTGGGGTCGGAGAGCCTGATGCGCTCGAGGCATATCAAGCAGGACAAGGCGCCGGAGGAGGAGGAGGTGAGGAAGGATTGGATCTTAGAAAGGTCGGCGGTGGTGGTAGATCGGCCGGTGAACTCGAAATAGGCTTTGAAAATGGAATCGGAGAGATCAAGATGACGGAGGGGTTCAGATCCGGCGTTGTCATCATCGGAATTGGAATCGGAGTCTGAAATGGTCCGTCCATGGTGGTGGGTCGTGATCATCCTTCAAGTTCAGGCGAGGGGAAGAAGAAGTTGCAGGCCGAAACCACAATCAAATCAATCAACTCTGGACTTTCTTTATTCATTTTCTGATATTCATGGGCCTGGCCTTTGTTTCTCTCTACCTTTCTCCATATTCAATTAACTTTGAGACGCAAAAATGGAATTTAGATCAAATAAATATTACCATCGAGGGAGTCATTTAAGTTTAAATGTCTATTTCAATTATAAACTTTTTAATTTATTGCCTAAACCAATCACCAATAAACTAGTTTACCGATGATTGACACATATCTCTGACTAAGAGATCGTGGTTCAAATCTCCCTACTAAAAAAAATACTTGAGTTATATTCAGTTTAATTTTATCCATTGACTTAAAAAATACTATTTTTATTATTACGGTTATTCTACTATTATTTTTTTAATATATAGATAACATAACTTTAGATATTATGTGTAACGTGGGCATTTATTGGAGCTAATATTGATTGAGGTCAATAATAGATGAATGAATATTATGTGCCAGAATAATAGTAGAAACTAAAATGATTTTTTTTCCTTTCTATATTGGATTCTAAAATATATCTATTAAAAGTATAACTCAATTAGTCAAAGACACTTCCATCTAATTAAAAAGGTGTGAGTTCAGGTATATGATGAAGGAAAACGGTAATGAATCATATGTCATCATTATTGACACACCATTAATTTTCAAGAACATGATATTTTTGCAACTATTCAAACAGTTAAAATATCTACCCGAAGGAGGAGGTTCAAGCCTCATTCTGTTTGTCATCTGGCCTGAATTTTTAACACAATGATATTTTTGTAAAAAATCAACAGTTAAAACATCTACTCTGGAAAGGGAGCCTCCCTTTGTTGTACTAAAAATGACAAACAAAGCTTAAATACTGGTAATTTAATTTCGTTAATTCCACGAAAATACAACAAACTCTCAAATTTATGAATTTGACATGCAAGAATCTGGATCAGTGTTCAGAGAAGTGGGTTGCTTCCAAGTGGCTTAATGAAAATTTCCAGAAACCAGTGGAGAAAATGGAATTATTTTATACAAACTCGAAGCGCATGAGAAGCCTTACGGACTTTAATTTCTCTCCCTTCTTGTCGTAGAGAGGGACCGCCCGAATCCCAGGCTTGAGCTCTGTGATGGGCAAACATGTCTGCCCGCCAAAATCATCTTTCTCCGACCTGTCAAAATCTCGAACTTCAAGCTGCATCAAAGCAAGCTCTGGAACTGTCAATGGGAACTTGAACTCTTCGTTCCAAATAGGCACCCAATTGTTCTCAATAGTCTTTGTCTTCTTCTTCGCTGCATCAGCTGGCACCCCAACAATACGAATCTGCCATTCATCCCATATTTATAGCTTTAGTTTATAACTTCTTTCTTTCATTTTTAAATAAACAGGCTACGCCCCACTCTTTATATCATGCAAATGGCCCACGCCCCACTAAGAAGGATGCCTCGGAGACAACAAAAATTTTAAGTTAAGATTAAGACCCATTTGGGATGCAGGTTCGGTATCTTAAGCCAGGTTTTAGGAAGCTTGTGTTTGGGGTACAAGTTTAGTAAGCTTATTGGTTTGTCTGACAAACCCCAGGCTTGATAAATTCTCATGGAGATATATTTGACATCATCTGCTTTTCTAGTTATATTCACATATAAACCTTAGCCAAATTCCATGCTATTCCAGAATTAGCAATATCAAATCCAGCAGAAGATGATGAAAAAGTATTCCTGATAGGAGGACTGAATGGTCACCACTAACCTTTGTGTAGAAGTCTGGTGGGGAGTAGTTGTCAAAATGCGTTTGGCTAAAGTCAGAGCTCCATCCATCCCCCAAATATACGGTTACCTGTATTTGAATAACATGAATGTTAACACCGATTCCAAAAGAACCAAATTTAATTACAATTTATAACCCAACACGATTGGCTTACTTTTAACGTTTCCTTCACTGGTAAAGCTTTCTTGGGATCAAAGACCTCATTTTGTGGGCCTTTTTGCAAGAGGAAGTCGGGTTTTTTCAAGTAACCACACCCTCCGTTGGCTCTAAACATCCCATGCATCAGCCACAATGATCTTCCATAGCCCTGTTGTAGAAAAAAAACCAGGTGCTTCATTTGGATCCCTCCAAATAGTGAATGAAAGCAAAAATTTATTATATTTCTGTTGTGAAAACATAGAATTGTAAGACATTTGAAAACACCATTACATGGTAATGTAGAAAAAATCATCAATAGCATTGCATAGCCTCGTTATTTCATTATTCGTATGCAATTGTATAGCTTAATTCAACATTTTACCCACTCATTCAGAGGACCGTTCTCCCCTTCGAGTAAACGATACCATACCACCACCGTTATTCATGCAGCATAATATTTTAAGTTGTCATGCAAAAGAATGTAAAGGGGCAAGAGGGTAAAAAAAGTGGAGGACGTGATGAAGGTTCCAACAAGCACCTGCATATTTAAAGCCACCATCTGAGCTCCATGGATCCACCCAATATTTGGCCTGAAATTTGAAGACGTGACCCGTGTCCCTTTGGGGTAAACTCTCAAAACATTCGTCTGTGTGAACCTAAAGATCACAGCAAGTATCAGAATCAATCACCAGCCAAAACCGAAGTTTGCTATGAAGAAACGAATCTCTTCCACATTATAAGTTGAAGAATTACCTTACAACATCAGTTCCATTAGAGGCTACGGCCTTTTGAAGTGCCTGCTCACTCAAGCTAAGGCGCCTAACTTTGTCACCATGTACCTTCAATGCATCCTTTAAGCAGCCACCTTTTGGTTTCCCAGCATGAATTGTGATTAGACGTTTGTATTCAGGTGCACCTTGCTGTAACGGTTTGCTCTCCACTGCACTGGTTTCTTCATCATCTGGGTCACTTTCACTCTGTCACCAATTAAAAGAGCCAATCAAGCTGTTGTATATACTTTAAAACACCGGTAGAAAAATAATTTCTTAGAGTGGGGAAAAACTTTAAATGCTAACTCTGTATATATATATATATATATAGAATCTTTAATTTCTGAAAATTTGAAATGGGGCAAAATAGAGAAAAACTACAAAGCCTAAGTATTTTATACATAGTTTTCAAATTAGGAAAAACTCTCTCTCCTTCTTTCTTTGCTCCACCCTGCATCAAAATAAGAAATGATAATCCAAAATTTCATTTTTCACCCACCAGTTCCTCAACTTCAAAAACAGTCATAAGGTCTGGAGTCTCCTTTCCTGATGTTTCCTCTTCTGATGACTCTTTTCCATCACATAAAACCTTGTCTTTTTTCTTCTTAGATTCTAGGTACTCTTTTGGTGGCTTTGTTGAAATAATGATTCTATATTTCAGGGATTCTGGAGAAGGGAATTCTGACAAGCTATCTTCCTGAGGGTAGAACAGTGTATCTCCAAATATTCCAGTTACCATCTGCAAGGAAACACAACATATTAATCATATTCAAGCAGAATATTTATAGAGAGAAATTATGTCGAGTAGGAAAATAATCTTTAACCTCCGCAACTTTAGCTTGAAGACCAGGAGTAAGATGATCTTCAAGAGTAATAATGACAGGATATGGAGATGTCTCAAAAGCATGCTTGTTTATAGACTTCAAACACTTCAAGAGAGTCACAGGGCTGGTTAAAGTCCTACAGTCATCCACAGAATGGTTCTGTACAGTGATTTCCTCTTTTAAAGTTTAACATCAGTTTATATTTTCATTTGATGACATGAAGATATTGAACGATCAGCTAGTACCTTCCATGAAGAACATGAACGTCATCTTTAGCTGAATTTGGCCATAAATCGAGCTCAACTACCCGCAGCCCTCTCTTCAAAGCCTTTATTATGGGAGCATCACTACAATCACTACTAAGTTGATTCCCAGTAAGGTAAGAGTTGTGCCCTGTATATATGAAATAATGTGACAATGGAGCATTCATATCATGATGTACCTGTAAAAAGTACAGTTATCAAAAGCATTATTGATTATAAGCAAATGATATTCCATTGGATTCGGATTACCGCAACAAGCATCTAATGGTTTAACAATCTAATCATCTTCAATTAATTGTCAGACTGCAGCTATGAGTTTGGTTTCTCTCTGAGTAACTTGACATGATAAAGTTCTTTCACAAATTCAATCATAGTTATAGAATCCACTGCCTTAGCCTTATAACCTACAAATAACATTAATTAGTTTTAAGTTCAGGTTTGATAGCTGTAATGGCACAGAGAAATAGAGAACAATTGTTCCCGCTTTAATAATCCTTAAATAATACATTCAAACCCGCGAAAATATTAACGAACAGAGTTGATAACAAAGAATCATCATACACAAAATTGAAACTTCAAAGATTCAAAGATGATAGAAACTGTTTAAATCATAGGAATTAAATAGACGCACATTGTAATTTAAACTATTATAAAAAATTATAAATAATGCCCATCTTCTTTCCCCTTTAAGGCACTATCCAAAACGAAAGGCTACATCTGCAGCTAAACAAAGAAACAAATCGAAAAGGGTTCAAAATGGGAAAGGGAAAGCGAGCGAACCTTAGATTTAATGGGACCATTGAAACTATCCATGAAGAGATAGTGGAAGAAATCATCAAGGGTGAAACCCTGATCGGAGGGTTGGGAGGGGTTGTTGTCAGAGCTCCGTCGCTTCTGCAAGACCTGCTCGATAATCTGCTCGGCCTGAGATAGGGTAACTTCCTCCTCTCCTTGTTGATCCACCAGAAAACGGAGCAGTTGATCGGCGGTCATGTAGTCCCCGCCACCGGAAAACGTAGCGAAGGCATCTCTGACGTCGGGCGGCGGTTGGGCCTCAGTGATCTTGAACTTCCTACTGAAACAGAGGACCTTGTAGCTGTTGTGTCCCCCCTTCATTTCGTCGTTTTCTCCGGTGGTTTTCCTGCAACAGCTATGAAAAAACTGGGAGGAGAGAAATGGAAGAAACGAAAACCTGATCCCAGACGTCGAATTTCTCGAGTTCAGAGAGAGAAGGAGGGAGCGGGGAGAGGGGAAACAATGGCATTGGCCATTGGCCATTGGAGCCAATTTCCCGGAGAGTTTAATGCTGCATCGCTCGGCCGCGTCGACTTTTAGAAACAAAATTTATAAATTAATTAAAATAATTTGTCTTTTAGTTGTAATTAATTAATTAATTAATCAAAGATTCAAAACGATTGAAGAGTGGCGCCGTTTAGCACCGCCCCTGCGTTCACATTCTTTGTTGTTTCGTCAACTCCCGCCAATTTAATATTAAGTCACCAATATTCGGTCTTTCTTTATAAAAATAAATCATTAAAAAAAAAGAGGCCTTTTTTTCTTCCTTTTATTTCGTAGGTGATGAGTGGTGGAGGCGAGGTAGGATGTTATGTTCTACTTTTGTATATATTAGTATTTTAGCACGTTCACATCTTATAAGTTCATTTTTTCCATCTAAATAAATTATAAGGTGGGATATTACATAATATTTTATAGTTTTAATCTATCATGTATTTTAGATGTGAAAATGTGAAAAAGAGACTAAGTCATGAGTTTTCATATTTATTAACTAAAATATTTAATATTATTTAGGTAGGTTGTGAAATTAACTTAATATTTATTATAGATAAAAAAATTTTAACAACCGTGTTAGCGTTTTTCTATATACAAAAAAAAACGATGAATGAGAAATTATATAAAAATTTTGGGATAATATTATAAAAAAACGTACTATTTTTAAATGGTAAACTTTAAAGTTCTAGTTATTAAACTAAGAAAAAAAAGGGAAAGACAAAAAGTTAGAAATACTGTATGGGTGACAAAGAGATTAGGGGGAGGGATGGAGAGGCATGTAAGATGAACGGGAGAGAGACATAAACTTTTATATATATTATAAATATAGATATATTAAGCCTAATTTTTTTAAAAACTATATGCAACAAGAATATATTGAGAGTTTATAAAACTTAGTTTTTTTTTTTCTTTTTTTTTTTAGCAAAAAGTTTTGCTCTCAGAACATAGTGATAACCACAATGTTAACGTTTGACTCGAAAAAAAATATTCCCCAACACTTTTATTATAATCCCCAAGCCTGCACATTTTCTGGAACCCTATATTCAAAATTATAACATATTCGACCATGACTCAAACTATTGGTAAATATTACTTAAATTTTAGACTTTCTCAAAATAATTGCTATGAGTATTGTATTTCTATGAAGTTATTTGAAACAACACTTGAGATTTAAAACTTGTTTTTGAAATTATTCTTGGAAGAAATAATTTTATAACATTTTTTTAAATTGAAAATTAACATGTTAAAAACTATTCCTTCAAGAAACAATTTCAACTTTTTGAACTATAATCTCCTAAAATCAAGTTGAATTTTCTTACATATTATCAAACTACAACAAAAATAAAATTCAAATTGGTTCTTGAACTATCTTACTCTTAGAATTTATAATATTAATTCTAAAACATTTTCCCATTTTATCCATGAAGAAAGGTACTCTTGCATTCACAGCAGATGAATTGAATTCTTCCACCTTTTTGTTAGATTTTAAACTCATCGAACAAGATTTTCTTAAATCACTAAACATTACATCAAAACAATTTTTTTTTTTTTTTTATATCCGTGAGTGTTCGAGTCAACTTGCACACGCCTAGACTAATCTCCTACAACTGCCTGACACTACTATATTTGATTGTCTAGATAACTCGTAGGATATTAAATCCTAAATATAAATGAGAAAAAGAAATGACTAAAAAGAATGTAGATGAAACGTTAAGATGGCAATCATGGATTATTAAAAGAATTATGAATAAATTACCTACTTTCCAGGAAGGGGCATGCAAACTTCTACACTAATTTCTATGATTATGCAACTAATAGTCAAAATAGAATACATTTAAGTTAGGAATAGTCCCTATTCAGATGACTTCCTCTTCCTCCCAAGAAAGGATGCTTTCTGAAATCTGGGTCCACCCATCCTCCATTTCTTAAAGGCTGTCATTGAGGATTGAGCTGCCTCATACACTGCAAGCAATGATTATGTTGATGTAAGCTTCAAGAGAAAGCACGAAATACGAAAATAAGAGACATACAGAGATGGAACAAGAATTTTACTTTCAGTTTCTTCTTTTGATAGAAGTGCTAAGTATTTGGAACTTGCAGCAAATATTGCGGAGTGAGCCTTGGTAAGTACTTCCTTGTACCTAATTTTGAACGTGGACAAAAGCCAAGAACCGATTGTTCTATCACCAACCCTGTAAATTGAGTTTGTAATGAGAAGCCAGAATAACCATTATCTTCCACCTCTTGTAACATGAGTAAGAAGAATCAGAAATAGCATTTGACCTGTTGCATTCTCGTCCATTTAAGTACGCTTAACAAATATTACAACCACCAACGCTTTGCTAGAGCAAACTCCAACAAATTGGACATCCTACGTGCACATGATCGAGGCGACGAGAACTTTTTACAAGATCATATATGGTAGGGGTAATCTAGTTAGTTTAAAATCTGTAGGCATATTTATCTGTTTACTTCTACAATGGAATTAAAATGAGATTATTATGCATTGAGATACAAAATTTAAGATAACAATACACTTGCTTGATTATTATAGAACACTGCCAAGAGTTCAAGCCTAAATACAAGATCCTTAGTACTTAGTAGGATGTCCTTAGTAAGTTAATATACAAGCTTAAATTGATAATTTCATATGTTCTCTAGACGGCAATAGAAAAGTAGTTCTATGGCTAGATATCCCAACTATTCTGCTATAAAAAGGAACTGTTGAATGTCATGCCTTCAGAATGGTACTTTTGTCAGAGGCGAAAACAATTTACGTTGATTCGAGTACAAGGGGGGAATGTCTTTCAAATGAAAGCGCACTTATAGACAGTTTTCACTTTCAGGTGAACATAAATATAACTCCAATTTAAGTAATGGACAAAGCAGCAATATATAGTTTTCACCACATAAAAGAGTTGGGCCTCAAGATACTCACAGTGGGGCAATCTTGCATCCAAATTCATAGAAGTATGGACATCTAGATCGTAGATCAACAAATGCAGCATCAGCTTGAATTTCCAGTCGTGTTCTGGTAATAGAAAATGTGCACTAGTAAACTAAAAACATCATCATCAAAGTCTCACTAATTCCTTTACTCATGAAATTTTACTGCAGGAAGCTTTTGCTGGTAATAAAATAACTAGCAGGTGGAAAGATTGAGCCTCGGCAACCATGCATCAAACAATCACCAAAGTAAAAGAAAATTGAGTAAAGTTCATTTTCTTTGTGGGTCAGCTTCTACGGAGCAAGTGGGAGCATTCTAAATGATATTCTATTTAACTACACCTCAAAAGGTTCAGTCGTTCAGATTACTATAATTTTATGTTATGGCCATAACAGATCATACACACTAACCAAGAGTAATAGCCCTTACTTTTGACCGATGAAAGTGGAAGGTTTCCATAACCATCACTTGTCGCGACGCAAGTCAAGAGCAAGCCAAAAGCGTAGTTCTTAAATAAAAAATATTAATACCACTAACTTAAAATGACATCATGGAATCTTACTAGTTCCTGTAATCTTGGAATTCTAGTTCAGAAGTTTCTGCTTGTAAAATAATTAGCAGATGAAAATATCAAGTATTCAGGAGAAAAATAATCACAATTCAATTTGTCTGTGGGTCAGCTTTTATGGAGTAAGTGGGGGCGAAGTAAATAAGATCCCCATCCTCTTAAACTCCTAAAAAGTCTAGAACACTACAAGTTTATGGGAATAATTGACCGTACAAGAACCTGAATGTAATAGTTATTACCTTTGATTAAAACAGGCAGGCAAGCCCATAGCCACCACTTGTCTAAGATGTAGCTCTTGCCCAAGCCAGAAGGGTAGCTCTACTTTGGAGCCAGATTCAACCTGAAATTACACCAGATAAGGAAACATGAGTTTGTAATTGAACATCCATATCATATCTACTATTGATTTCTTGAACTCACAGAATCTGTTTCCGAACTGGGATCAATTCCAACTCCATTAACTCCCTTTTGGAACACAACAGAAACAAGCTGTCAAGAGGATAAAAAAAAGACTCAAAATGTTGGGATGGCAAGATTATAAGACCTTATGAGGTAAAAAGAGGAGATATTGACCTCTTCCTCCGCCAAAATGTCATCAATATCGTAATAATTTGTCATTTCTGAGGGTATTCAACACGTTGCTCCAATGTTCAATGCCTCTAGAAGAAAATGCCCAAAATTCCAGCGTGATATATTTTCAACTCACACCACCTACTTCTACAGTTAAACGTTTTGCTGGAACTGCCAGGACAGTAATGACAGTTAAAACAGTCAAATTATTGAGAAACTAAAAAATATTTCCTCTGATATCAAAAAACTAAAGCCAAATTATGTTTAACTAGACAGTCAAATATATAAAACTAAACAGTTAAATATATATCGTGTAGAGATATTCAAATCTTTCAACCGATCAGTAGGTCTTCCTCCAAATCACAAAATCATATTTTCTCGGTGGGAATGCTAAGAAAACCAACTATTTCATTTTACCAATCAGTGGGTAAATAAATTCACAGCACAATTGCAACAATAGAAAAATGTAAACAGCTTTTGCATCTAGCCATTCAAATTAAAAATTGAAACATAATACGATCTTTTTACATAAATACACAAACAATATCAAGTAACCCAGTTGCATACAAACAGATAAACGAGACAAAAACACAGAACAATCAATAACAAAACAAAAACTAAGGAAGAAAGAATACGTCAACCGGTGGGGAGAGCGGCACACCTTCGATTACGGTAACGTCGATCTGATTTTGCAGGTATCTTCTAAATTCTACACCAGATAAAAATATTGGAAATGGAAGGGGGAATGATTGAGGTCCTTCCGGAAGTCTGTTGAGCGGCTACATGCAGGAATTCTTGAATTCCAAAGACCAAAGCTATGGAGGAAACGGAGGATTGAGTATGGACGATGATTAGGGATGAGAAAGAAGATCTGAAAACGGTGAATTTGCAGTCGAAAAATGGAAGCGAGGTTGAGAAAGGAGATTGAGGCGCCGACTTTCAAAAGATTGATCTAACCAAAATTTCAGTGGAAGTGGAAAATTCAAATTGGAGGGAAACTCAAAAATTTTATACAGAGATCTGGAAGAGGAGGTTTCCATTGGGTGCGGCCGGGTCTAGCGTAGAAAGTTGTCGACCTGGAATAAACGGATATGATTTAATGAGCGTAGCTAATAATGGATTAGATTTGACCGTTGATTAGTAAAATCTTGAAACTTTTATTTCTTAATTCGCTATCTTAGCTAATTTTCAAAAGGAAAAATGATATTACTTTTTATTATGTTTCAAATAGATCATTCCTTGTATTTTAAATAAATCGATTCTGCCAAATCGAGTATAATTCGGTGATAATTGACATATATATCCAAGAGTTTGTGAGTTTGATCACCCACCCCTACAAGTTTTTTAATTTAATTTTTAATCTTTTAAAATTCTCAAATATGCCCTCAATGTTAAAATTTTTCATTTACCTTATTCCATAAATTAATTTGTTAAAATTATGTCCATATAACTAATTTGTCATTAAATTATTGTTTGTCAACATATTTTGAGACATAGGCATGCTACTTGGACACACCACTTATAGGTTTTAGTTCTTGCACATCAAAGTAACATCTTCTTTTAAATATGTTAACAAAATAATAATTTAATGATACATTAACTTTTAAAATTTTGAATACATCAAACGTAATTTGAGAATTTACCAAAATATTGAGTACCATTTCGCATATTTAGCCTAGATTACCTCTCCATAATTATTATAAATAATAGAATCCATATAAAAAAACATCACGTCAAAAAATGACCAATTATAAATCAAAAGTCCAATTGTCTTCAAATTTCAATACTTGAACTTATACCATCCTAACTCATTATTTCACAATAATTTTTAACATTGAATTTATTGGCTCAAGTTGGTTAATAGTTCATCTTGGGTCATCCCCATAAAAACTTCATGAAGTAAAAAATATGAAGTCATCATGCCTCATAAATTACATTGTAACCTCTCCAAATCCATAATACTCAGAAAGTGCTGTTTAACTCGCAACACTTTATTGGTAAATTTAACTCACCTCAATGAATGTATATATACTTTTTCAACCGTCATACAGTCCTACATATGGGGTGTTACAGTATAAATCTGCCCCTCGGACACTATTCTTATACTCTTTCGCGGTATAATCAATCTGTGTTCAAATAACACAGCAAGAAAAGATTGGGGAATTTGACCACAGAGAGAAAGAATGAAGAAGCCTCAAAACGATGACAAAACTGGATCTTTATGTATTGCTACATTTCACAGTTTCACCAGAGTAAAGCTTTTTTGAGATGTAAAAGCCATAAAGCTAGCTGCAAAGTGAAAATTCTAGCTTCCAACACTACTTCATCTAACCAGACATTTAACCAACATGCTAAGGATTTATTTTCTGATAGTCTCGCCTTGATAACTGCTTCAGATGATACCTTCCCGATGATGAGGAATGTCTCGAGTGAAGATCCCTGCAACTGTTCACAAACCATTTCAGTAATGAATTTCTAGAATGTATCCTAAAAATCTTGACAATATGCTAAGGCTGCTGGAGTTGCAAAAGTTAAATATCATTATTAAAAATGTTTCATAGAGATTTCGAAAAGTAAATATTTTTACAAAGAAGATATATATTACCAGAGAACTGTTAACCGCCCTTAAACAGTCATTTGTCTTCAGCATCAACAAAATTACACGTGGCAATCTCCTAAGGAGCTCTGAAATTTGGGGGAGATAATTTGAAGCATGCATCTGAAGAGAAAGAAAGGTCAAATGCCGTCAGATATCCAGCTGAAGAGTCTATTAAAGTAACTACAATCTTTTCAACTTTCTCGAGGAGAGCAATGCTCACGATCAAAATAAGTTACTTGAGCATAAGAGACTTTAGAACTTTATAAGAAGAATAATGCTTATCCTCAAATAAGTTACTGGTGTTCAGCTTTCAGGATGGATTTTATAACCCCAAAACTGTATGAAGGGGGAGCAACAGCATCAGAAATGTGAATTTGATGGGGGAGAAGTCCATGTGCAAGAGCATGAGTACTATTTTTCTTCTTTTTCTTTATTTTTTTATTTTTGGAGGTAGGGGTGGTATGTACCATATAAGAGAGACTACCTGTAGTTCTGAACGCTCACTGTCAGTTCCTTGTATGACTAAATGGTCAACTGCTGGGTCAATGACTTGATTCCAAGGTTTCATAGTAAGAATTCCAGCAAATAATGCATAAAGATCTTCTCCAGCACCCAGTTTCTTACTGTTCTCCTTTATTGCCTCCGCATCGGAAAATATTAGTGCCTAACATAAGGGAAAAAAATACATCAGAGACATGCTGGCACAAGAATTCATTGGGAGAACATTTTGATGGACCACAAAGGAAATACCTTCCAAAGGGCAGCATAGTTAAATCTGATGTTGAAGTCGAGATCTTTATACAGCCCATGGTCCAAAAGTACCAACTGTGGTTTCCTCTTGCCTGTATTGTATCAACAGAATGAAAATTTACAAAAATGGTTCAAAATTATATGTTAAACCATACCATAAATCAATAACACCGACACAATGAAGCAGCAATATTACATTCCAATCGATGAAAGCTCAACTTTACATTTTTTTTAACAAAAAAAAAAGCATGATTATGATAGAACCCGAACTAGAAATATATTGAATATAACAAAATATAAGAACTATAATAACTACCAAGTAATTCGAGGTACTTGGACCTCGCTTCTCTTAAGTATTCTTACTCAAGCCTAAACCATACTCACCAATTGCCTACCTTCATCCTTTCCCCCCTCACCTTATTTATAGCCAAACTCCCTAACCCAATTACTAATATACCCTTAATACCCTAATAATATCCCCAACTTATCCTAATAGCAATCCTATCAGATTACATTCCAAAGCAGAGAAATGGGATCAAAATATTTTCACTCGTTTTGAATCAAAGGAATCATTACATCTTAATTGGTGCATATAGAATTAGTAGCCGAAAACTCATTTTAGGATATAATATGATATCTCCTTGTAGGTAGGTTACCAATAAATCATTGGAATACTTCCATTATATCATAAATAATGGGATACATTAATGCCCTAACAATTCATCTACGGGTTTGAGAAATCAATCGTTAGAATAATCAATCATTTAGTAAGAAGCTCACCGAAGAAGCTCTTTTTGCTGGAAGGCAAGGGACGGACGAGCAAGTTTGCAGCATGAGGGTCACAGTGCACAAAGCCATGCTTATATATCATCTCAGCAAATGCATGACTAACCTATATAAATTATATCAATAATCGATTTTCTTCAGCAAGTGAAGTAAAACTGTATCATCATAAGGTCAAGCAGGCATTTAAAGAAAGAATATCTAAATGAATGGCCTGAGTTCCTGAACCCATTATAAATCTTCATTCTAGTCATCTTCAACTTAAAAAAAAAAGTACAAACCAACTCTGATTCAAATTGCATGTCCAAATATACAGACAGGCAGACAGTAGATAACATTCACTGTTAGACTTCAAATACTTGAGCTGCAACATGTTAAAATACATGCAGCTTACAAAATGCTTGAGCATAGAGGATCACCAAGTGGGAAAGGAACACTCAAAAAACAAAGGCAAAATAAAAATGATGCTCATAAATAAACCTAATTTTCCTGAATAAACAGAATTGTGAAGTGCGTGATCTTACTAATTTTGCAACTTCTGATGGTTGAACCCCAAGCCTCTGAATGGCCCGGACATCACTTATTTGAGCACCATCCATAAACTCCATGGTCAACAACTTTGAAGTACTTAAGTTCCAATACACCTTTGGAGCATACACATAGTCTGCAATATGAGGAGACAACTTACGAAAGTTATCCAAACATTTCTCGCTGTTCCTGGCCTCACCTAAGAAATCAAGTTCCTGAGGAAGAGATAAAACTGGGACAATAATGGCACTGCCAAAATGTGAAAGTAAAAAAAAGAGGATAAAAGAAATATGGAACATTTTCTAAATTCATAGAAACATTTGTAACTGCTATTCATGGAAGATCATTAAGTAAAGTTTCCGACCTAGATTCATACATCAAAGTTCAAACTAAAATATATGGAGTCGGACATATAAATTAGTTGTCTAACAAAGAAAATGTAATTTCATTATCACAAAATTTCACCCATGCAAAACCCATTGATGATGAACCACTGCAAAATGGTGACTGAAATACCATAAAATTTCAGAAAAAAATCTCCCATCTTCTAGTCCAAGTAACTTTTGTGCATTCCAAACTAAACAAAATCATAGATCATCCATACCATTTCTATACTCTTATGCAATCTCTTGATATTTCCAATGACAAACTAGGAATCAACTTTGACAGAAAGCTTACTAGCGGAATAAAAAAAACCTCCAATTAAGTTTCTAACCTTGAAATTTCCTTGATAAAGTAAGCATTGAGGAGAGGGATGTCAAATTAAATATTTTGCAAAACAGAAAGGAAACTAGTACATTTGGTAAGTTCTTAAATCCATGGTAGGTAGGTAGCCACCCTGGTTTGAACTCATTCCCTCTTATTCCTTTTACTCATTTTCATTGGCCCCAATGACCACTAGGACAACCTATGATTTTCTTAACTAGCAACTTAGGATATAGAGTATCCCGTGAGTACTATAAAGCCAAATGTTGTAAAGTTTAACAACCTAAACCATGAAAAAATAATAGAAGGAAAATTTATTGCCATCCATGTAAAAACAAAAACTATTGAGTGAGAACTTTTTATAACATTAAAGAGAGTATATATAACCAAAGAAAATGTGTAATACATTTGAGTATATATACTCACAAGAAGCACATGAATATAGATTTGAGATAGGCACACACATAAAAAGAGAGTAGGAAACAAAGAAGGGATAACCTGCCTTTGGCAAACTCTCACTCATCTCATCGACCAACCACCTATATAGAAACAAATAATTTATTTTCATTGTAAGAGATCATATATCGCCAAGAGTCTATGAAACAATATTATTAATATAGAACATTATACGGATGCATTACTTTTTTTTTCCGTAAGATTAAACAGATGCATAACTCATAAGCATGGATATTCAAGAATTAACGTGTTTCTTATTGGCAGGATGCAGTTTATCTAGTACAAACCCTTAAAAAGGTCATCGGCAGTTCAAGAACATTACCTATAATCAACTGAAGGAAAAATTCGATATAGGGTGTTCACAATTAGTGCAACACTAGCATGATCTGCAGCTGCAGTATCAGTCATATGAGTGTGCTGCACCTGAATATAAAGAAACAATCAGTAAACAAGATTCGCGCATGATGGGAGGGAAACTATCAAATCAATATAAATGCATGTGAATTTAAGTTCAAATTTAATAAATAAAACAAGACCTTCACAGCAACTTTTTGGCCATCATGGGTGCGAGCAACATGCACTTGTGCAAGTGATGCACTTGCTATTGGATCAGGATTAAATTCAGAAAAGATCTGCACGTGAGAAGGCTTGCATCATGAGACCAACATATTGTTTATAGTGAAATAAAGGTGTTTATACAATATCAATAAGAAACCAGATATAGAAAAATGGAAGTCGTGCCTCATACGTAACAGTTATGATAACCAAGTTCTGTCACAATTCAATGATAATCTCTAATCGAGAGAGTGAATGCATAATCTGATTATATCAAATCAGTTAGGCCAAGGAAATATACCTTATCTGGTGTCTCGCCAAGCTCTCTCTTGAACACTTCACATACTTGATTGTACGGAGATACTGGACATTTGTTCAACATAGATTCTCTCATTGTCTGGACATATTCTTGGGGCACCAAATACTCCTGCATGAGAGATGGGGCAAATTAAGGACTGCAGGCCCATCTTCTTTTTATCGTATACTTCAAGAGGTGGATAGAAAGCATACCAACTGACTAATGTGTTGGCCAAGCTTGATATATATTCCTCCATTTTTAAAGCATAACTCTTGAATTCTACGAGCAGATCTAAGGTGAACTTCATGCTTAACTTTTTCTCTTTCACTACTTCCATCAGGCAATCTCCACAGCGAATATTCATAATCTAGAAATAGGAGAGAATGATGCCAATTCAAAGCCCAAATTCAAGGATTCAATCATTCGGAACATAAAAATCTAAAATTTACTTCTCGAAAAAAATCGAGTAAATAAAATAACCGCCCATTCATAAAACTCGAGACCTACGAATACCAACACGATAAACCCAGCTTCTCAATTTTCATGTCTCGGAGCGATTAAATGCACTAAGATAATATTTTACTGAATACAACCGATTATATAAACAGAACATAATGCAATTCAACCCTTAAACAAAATACTCAAGTCCCGCGAAATCAATGCCAAGGTTTGACAGACATGCGGACTCCAGTAGTCCAGTTCATATATACGCGACTATAAAGCTCAATTACGATAACCCAGTTGCCATCAATCATTCTCAGGATAAAATTAATTCTCAACCATCAATTTGGGAATAAAAACTCAAAACCAGTTCGCGGAAGGAAACCTTGAAATCAATTCCACCGAAGTTATAATTCTTTAAGTAAAGCCACGGAAACGTAAAATTAGAAGCAAGTGAAAACGTTGGAATGCATACCGAAGGCAATAGTAGCGACCGTGGACGAAAGGCGAACGAGGCGGAGCGGGACGGCGGTGCAGAGCTTAAGAGTCATGGAAGGGTCGTCGGAGGCAGCTATGGAGGCCGCTGCGGCACCACCGCCTATTGCGGTGGCCGCCATCGCGACCTTCGCGCCGGCCCGCCACAGAGACCTCGCGACCATACCTTGACGCCCTCTGTTTGGGCAACGGAACGAAATTCGGTAATTTACTGTCTTCCGAAAAACTATTTTTAGTTGGCGATAAAATCTTCAAATACGGTACCCGTTAATTTTGGTCCGCGGATCAACTTGCGCATCGTGCGTGGTGTTTTTTCATCAAATTGCACCTAAAACAAGTCTGCCAATATTTACCTAATTTTAAAAAGTATTATAATTTTTATCTTTTAATAAATTTTTGTTTCAAGAATGGTTAATAAAATATATGTATTGTATTAGTACGCACTATGGCTGATTCTTCTAATTTACTATCTTTTATCTCTCAACCAATATATTAAATTTTTGTCGAAATATCAATATTTTTCATATTTGTGTGATTCGATATTGATATGAAAAGTAAATCAATATTTGAAAAAAAAAATCCGATAAAATATAAAAAAAATATCAACAAAGTATTATTGATGTAAACATAATATTCGATTTTAATAAAGGGAAGTAAAAAATTTAGATAACAAAAAAACAATATGTCCAAAATAAACAAAAATTTAATTCTAAAAAATATATCGATAGAAAATATGAACATTTATTTATTGGTTATATGAGTTTTCAATTAGCGTGTTTAGTAGGGCCAATAAAAGTCGGAGGATGTTGCAGAGTTTTAATGGCCAATATGCGCTATACAAGTGTCTCCTGAAGATTCCAATAGTTTGAAACCAATGGCTATTTCTAAGTTTGCGATACATTTTATGTTGTGTATATTGACAATTATATCATTTAATTCGTAATAATTATTTTAACAACTATACCAATATAATTAAACTAGAGATAGGGTTAGAGAGTGAAAGTAAAACTACCTTCTAGACTAGCGATGACATCGAACGGATAATTTTGTAATTTCAAAAAGTATATAATAGATCTTTGAATTTTTAGGATTTTGTATTTATAATTCTATGTTTAATAGACCTTACTCTACTAATCTATTAATAAAATTCAATGATCTATAGACAAAAAGTTATAAATTCATTAAAGATAATTAAATTTAAGAGATTTATTAGATATGAATAATTTAAGAATTAAACATAACATTTAACTAACTTAGTATCAATGTGTTTCGAATTATCTGTATATAAATTTGTACATGTTATATCATAGTACCACCGGATCTACCAATTAATGGTTAGTATTTTCTCTATGTTCAAAAGATTAACTATGGACATCTTATTTTAGAATATAATCTTTGTTTTGTCTATTTTAAAATTCGTGTAATGTTTAATTAAAATTTTTGTTTGAAATATTATAGATCTACTAAGGGTTAAAGTTGACGTTCCATTAATTTGTTGGTCTCATTCAGTAACTTTAATTATAATTAAAAAATAATCATAATTTAGAAAATCTGAATGTAGGGGAGAATAGATAATTCACTAGGACGTAAATACAATTTAAATTAAATTGATTATCATTTATCCATTCTCATTCCCTTCGAGTAAACATGATTTTAATCAATTATACCATGTATAAAAATTATATAAATAAGGAAGAGAGGAAAAAAGAGGAGAAAATTAGGAAGAGTTGTGTTAATCAAATACCTATTAACTATATTAACTATTTAAATTACATTGATTAGACACATATTCCACCTAAATTGTAATATCTGAAATTACAAGATTATTTTGGATGTCGGATTTGTTTAGTCCATGAAAATATTAGTTTTAAATTTACTAAATTATTATCAACACCATTAATCAAATGTTGATATGGATATTTATTAACAAATGATAATTTGACATGACCTAATATGTGAACTACAAATTTATTTTACATTTAAATAATAATGATTTGGAATTAAGTCCATGAATATTTTAATTATATTTTATCAGTACATATACCTTATTAACTAATTTTGACCGATTCAATCAAACCCTAATGTATTCACTATTTTAAAAGACAAATTATTTATAATTAGCAAAAGAAAACAATAAACGATTTGTTTAATGAAAGATTTTCCATTTAATTAAGTTTAATAAATCTGATATCAAACATCAATTTGAAGAATCATCCACCAAGACATTTCAGTCTAGCCGTTAACTTTTTTATTTATTATTTATTTTCAAATGTTGAGCCCTTCCATCAGAATTTAGACCGTTGATTATTCCACATCCACCGAATTCCATAGCCTTCTCCTTCCCTTGCCCTGCCCCATCAAATTTCAAACCCACTGTAACAGCAACACCCTTCTCTCTCTACCCAAGCTTTCTCTCACTACCTCCATTTCTGGCCTCATCATCCAAATCCCACATGGGAATCCCAAAATCGGAGATGGGTTTTCAAAATGAAGAGAAATCAGTGAGAATTTTAAGGGCTTTGAAGACCCTCTTCTTCTTAATCACCATGTTTATATCTCTGCTTTTCTTCTCTGCCCCAATTCTCATCGCCATGGTCGATTCCCTTCTCCCCTCTGCTCTCCTCTACCCCGATTCTCTCTCCTTCAAATCTCTCTCTTCCAATCTCCAAAACTACAATTTTGCCTCCTCAATTGTCGACATTCCGCTCATCTCCATCTCCAGATCCGCCATTATCGTCTGTATGTAAGCCACCGCGAAACAGAGGACTCGAAATTGAAGCTGAAAATGATGGTTTTTTTTTTAATTTTGTTTTTTAGGTGTGTACAGTTTGTGCGATGGGGCGAAGCTGTCTCGAGGGCCGTACTTAGCGGCGGTGATGGGTTGTTCTTCGATTTCGCTGGTTTTTGTTTCGGTGAAAGCTTATTGTTTGTTTGGTGGGTCGGCGCCGGCGCCGGCGGTGGAGCCAGGAGGCGCCACGGAAATGGTTTTGTTGTTTGGTTGCTCTCTGATTTTGGCTCTTGGACACTTTGCTGTGGCGTATAGAACAAGTTGCAGAGAGAGAAGGAAGCTTCGAGTTTACCAAATAGACATTGAAGCTGTAAGAATTTTCGTCCCTTGTCTTTATTTCAAATCTGTATCTATAGTTTTTAAAGTTTCAATTTATCTCATAAATGTTCACTATTGTTGGAGTATTAAACTATTGTACTAAAGAAAAGAAGAAAAAAAATTAATAGGTTAAACTATCAGTATAGTCTAAACTTTAAAGGAGTAGTTTTAAATCTTATTTTGACATCGAAATTTGTAGGTTGTTCCATTTTGTCACTCAACGTTTAGAAAAGTCTATTTTAATTTTTAAATTAAAGAAAAATTATTTTGGTCATTAAATTTTCAACGGGTTAATTTTAGTCTAAACTTTTAAAAAGTGACTATTTTAATAACATGCTCATTTTTCTATTTGTATAGTTGAATACATAATACACGTTTTAAGACGTTTTCACCTGTTCAAATTTATGTTATTGATTTGTTAAAAGTCAAAATAAAACCTAAGAACATTACTTTTTTTATTTAAGAATTAAAATAGACATTTCAAAAGTTAATGAATTAAAATAGAACAAATCTAAAATCCAGTAATAAAAAAGAGACACTTTTGAAATTTAGAGAAAAAATAGAATAATCTCAAAATTTGATCCAAAATTAGATTTAAACCTAAAAAAATATCTGATAGGTCTTTGGAATTTCAATTTTGTGCTTTCTTGGACCTATCATACATTTTTTAAAATTTATAAAATGAAATTTTGCGTCTAATGAATCTTGACCTTTCAAAATTCGTTTTTAATAAGTTAATGAATTTTCAAAATATTTAATAATAGATGAAACACAAAATTGAAAATTTAGGAACATATTAATACAAAATCAAAAGTTTAGAATTTATGATGTAATGAATCAATTTTCAACCGGTTAAAAAATAATTTAAGAAAGATTTACGAGGCTTGACCAAAACTGTAATTACTAACTTGAAACTTTTAAAATTAAAGAAACCAAATTTGAAACTTTTAAAAGTAACCAAATTTGAAACTAAGTTCAAATTATAGAGATTAAATTCAAAATGACTATAGACTTTAAAATCATAGAAACACAATTTAAACTGACGTGAAACCTCTAAAATTATAGCTACCAAATTCGAAGTAAGCTAAATTATAAAAATTAAATTCATAATGAACAACATTTTTTTCTGTTTGGCTTCTAAGAAACTAGAAGTAAAGAAAAAAAAAACATTTCTTTTCCAACCGATTGAGGGTTTTTTTTCCTTGGATATTTTCTTGGTTTTTTTGAAGGGCATTGAAAGCAAAAAGCTTTTATCGGGTTGAGGGAAAAACCCAAAATCCGACCTGGTCCCAAATTCGACCCGAATCCAACAAAAACCGATTATTTTCGGCTCGGATCGATTTTGCCTAAACACCTATCCGAACCGACCGAATTACACTCCTAATAACAAATGCTTTGAAATTTTTAAAATTATAGAAACCAAACTAAATCTCAAAAATACTAAATTTAATATTAAGGAAAATTATAAATTAATCCAAATAAAATGGAAACTTTTAGGCTGAAGATGTCTTTGCCTTATTTGCAGGTTTTTTCAGGCAGCCAAAAAGGGTTCCCACAGTACAAAAAGATTCTTTTGGAAGGAAAAGCCGTTGAGTAAATTTATGGAGTGAACGTTGAACCGTTGACGATTTGTCGTAACAACGAAGGGCTCAACAATAGGTAGATGTCGACAACATATTGTCTAGAAATCTACGGGTAGATAAATGCATATTTTATAAATATAATATTTGAAGGTAAGGTATAGAGTGCACTGGAAGAAATATAATACGAAGAAAAATTTTATGATATTAGTACATAGATAATACTTGGCTGCTATTTATATAGTATAGTTCTAAGCCCCTTAAACAATTGACAACAAYGAGAGAAAAGTAAAAAATCATATTTTTTTTTCTTAGAAACAATGAACTGTCAAATTTTTATTGGTGATAATGACTCATGACCATATAGATTCTTATCGATAAAGAGTTCAATATTTTCTCAATGTGTTGCGTTATCATCTGTATCAAGATCATTATTATTTAACACATTAAGTCGTTAACTTAATAGTTAAGCTATAGTTGTAATCTTGTATATTTAATTATGATTCAAATTTAGTTTATACTTCTAAAAAAAAAGTTTACTTATGTAGTTCAACTAGATAAATAATAATATAATAAATAAATAAAATATTAAAACAATTAATTAAAAAGTTCTCAATTTCACTAATAGATGAGAAAGAATGAAGAGTTGTGAAATAATTATAAAAAAGGTGCGTGGCTCATGAAATAAGAAATGTGAATTAGATTATCGAGCTTTTTAAAGCCGAATAAAATTAACATTTAAGAAGTTAGTTAAATTTGAGATGGGTGCTACCAAATGACAAAATTTAGTTGAATGAACATGTCTCTAAGTTTCTAGTTGTTCGATTTTACAAAGAAAGACCCTTTAAATTTTAGTTTGGATCAGCTTTACTTTTGATTTTATTAAATGGACGATCTATACCATTCATTCTACACCGTTCTCATTTATTGTCCATTAATTATATCAATAACCAGAAATTATTCAATCTTTTATAATTTTTAAAAACATCCACCAACATCAAACATTTTATCGATGTTTTTATAAAATTGAGATTTCGAAATCTTCATGTTGAGACTGACGTTTAAAAAAAGCGAGAATCCAATCTAATAGCCACAATCAGTACTTAACTTACGTGTAACAACATCTTCCACATAAATCTCCATCACAATCTACGCCAATCTCTGCACATGTAACATGTAGTTATGACACACGTTTTTCTTCTTTTCCTTTTATTGGAACAAACTAATTTAGTGAATAATAATAACGAGTGATAAATAGTTTGGCAACTTTTCTTCAAAAAGAAAAAGAAGAAGTTTGGCAATTTCTTACCAAAAAAACCGTTGACAACTATGACAGTATCTTTAATTATTCAGCCCCATAACACAAACAATAAATTGAGGAGCTAATCAACAGAAAACTAGATATGGTTCATCAAACACAAACAAAATTCTTAAAAAAACAAAAAAACAGAGAGAGAACAAAAAACGGTCAGAATTCCAGCATGGGGGCGTTACATGCATGTTTACATGGAAGGTTTAACGTTGATTAAACATTGCACAATAAATTAGAGACCTCGGCTATACTTACAGACACAAACATATTCCTTGCGAGTTCCAGTTTCGTTGTCGTGTTCTTCTTCTGTTTGCCATGCAATCTCTTAAGCTTTCTCAGACTCAGACCAATTTTGCCCTCTCCGGCCACCGGCGGTGCCCTGTTTCGAAATGTCCGGCGACTTCGCTCAAGAGTTTTCCAACCTTGAGGTGTTCTGCTCTCGCGAGCACCGGCTCCAAATCGTTAGGTAATCTTCATCGTTTCTGTTAAAAAAAAAAAAGATTATATGACATTATCGGAGTTTTAAAAATCGTTCGACACATTGAGTACATGTCGACTAGAACCCGTAAGGTATTTTCCTTAGTAAGGTATTTTCCTTCCATGGTACTTATTGATTTAGGTTTTTGAACGAGAGAAAAATTTCTATACCTTTGAGTGCAACCTTCGTGGTTGTGCTTGAATGCAACCTTTGCATTTTAATGTTTTGATTGTAATTGGATTTTAAAAATCAATATGCTCCAAAAACAAATTAAAGGCAACAAATTAAAGGCATTTAGATTGAGAATTTAGTTTCTATTATTCTATTGGGATGAGTTAGACTATTCTTTAGTCCCTTTTATAACATGAATTCACTTTTAACTTAGCTTAGAGTTTGAGTTTGAGCTCGACCCAAGTCCAAGCCTTACCGGCCTCAGTATTATTTGAGTTGGGTTTGGATTGGCTCAATCACTAAAAATTAACCCAAGTTCAATTCATGGACTACAATTAAAATAATCAATTATATCCGAATTAAGCTACAATTAGAGTCTACTTTATTTATTCAAATAATTTTCATCCATGTACATTATCCTGTTTGGACATTTTCATCAACGTCGACGTTTTCATAAGTAGGTTGCTCATATTCTTACATGTAATGGTTAAAATGATCGATTATACCTGAGTTAGCTATAATTCAAGTTTTATTTACTAATTCAAACAAATTTCCATCCATTTTCACATTTTCTTTGATTTTTCTTAAAATATCCGTCGACACCAACAAATCAATTGACATGTCTATAGAATCGAAACCTCGACATTTTTATCGACATCGATATTTCGAACCTTGGTCATAATTATTTTGTGTACATGTGTTTGTTTTTTGTTTGTGTAGGTGTCAATGCTGCAGAATTCATGGAAGCGTCGAAGCATGGAAATCTGGTCCCGCTTTCTCGGTGTCTATTTTCTGATCAGTTGAACCCAATCGTAGCTTATCGGCATTTGGTGAAGGAAAATGATTGGGAGTCTCCTAGCTTTATTTTCGAGTCGGTGGAGTCCAATTCTCAAGTTAAGTTATTGTAATTCATATCTTTATTTTAGAGTTACGAGTGCGAGAATTCAAACTTCCAGCTTGAATTATGTTGACATAATTTTAATATGTGTAAGTTTCAATTTCATTGACACATTTTTTGTGACAGGGTCGTTATAGTGTAGTGGGAGCTCAACCAGCAATGGAGGTAGTGGCGAAGGAGAATAAAGTCACAATTTTGGATCACAAAAAAGGTCGATTGACTCAGGAATTTGTGGATGATCCCTTCATGGTTCCAATCAAAATCTCAGAGCAATGGAAGCCTAAGTCAGTGGGTGGAATTCCAGATACGTTTTGTGGTAAAATTTTCAATTTGGTTAATATAGTTTTAAGATAATTTTAATGTGGTCTATATACTTTAGTCCAATTTCACAAATCATTCATATTCATGTCGTTATCATAATAGCAATTTTATATTTGGATAATTATATTAGTCAGAGTGTAATAATGTCCAAGGCTGACTAAGAAATAAAATAATATCGAAAGATTTGGTAAGTAAAACAAATTTCAATAAGACTTGAGATTTTAACCAAATTAAAGTTAAGTAAAAGTATAAATATTAGATTCAAACTTTGAAGATCATGAAAGACGAAAATGAATGTGCAGGTGGATGGGTGGGTTATTTCTCCTACGATACAATGCGATACGTGGAGAACAAAAAGCTGCCATTCTCAAAGGCTCCAACAGACGATAGAAACCTTGCCGACTTCCATCTAGGCCTTTACGACGAAGTTCTTGTGTTTGATCATATCGAAAAGGTACCAAATTCGAATTCAAATTCAAATTTCATAAAACCCCATCTACTTGGAATGCTGATTTGAAGTTGTTGTTTGTTGAAATTTAGAAAGTTTACATAATACATTGGGTGAGGCTTGATGGGTATTTGTCTGTGGAGAGTGCTTACGAAGATGGAGTAAAGCGTTTAAACATGCTTGTGGAGAAACTTCAAGATGGTGAAGAGTGAGTAACGTACTGTCATTTAAGATGAATTTGAAATTGAAGTTTGAATCTGAAGTTGAATTTGAATTTGAATTTCCAGGCCAAAGTTGAGTCCAGGTTTTGTCGACTTGAATACTCGTCAATTTGGTCCTTCATTAACGAAGTCGAACATGAGTAGTGAGTCTTACAAACAAGCTGTGCTTCGGGCAAAGGAACACATTCTTGCAGGGGACATTTTTCAGATAGTTTTAAGTCAGCGTTTTGAATATCGAACTTTTGCCAATCCTTTTGAAGTTTACAGAGCATTGAGAATTGTCAATCCAAGTCCATATATGGCTTACTTGCAAGTCAGTAAACCAGCTATCTTTACTCTGCTTTGACTATGACTTCAAAAATTTTCAACTCCAACAAGTTCTTAACTAGTTTTCTTTGTTTTTGTTTTGCTGACCCCAGGCTAGAGGCTGTACTTTGGTTGGCTCTAGTCCCGAAATTCTTACTCGTGTAGAAAAGGTAAGGAATTGCCATTTTTTATTAGGACCGTTTGATAACTATTTCATTTTTAGTTTTCTGTTTTTAAAGTTTGCTTAGATTTTGAAAATGTTGATAACAAGACAAAGGACGAGGAATATATGGGAGTTTGAGCTATTTGGGTATGAAAAGGTGTGGCATTTTGCTTGTTTGCTCATGACTTTTTATAACAAGTAGATCATGTTTTCAACAGAATAAGATTGTGAATCGTCCATTGGCTGGAACTGTTCGAAGAGGGAAGACAGAAAACGAAGATGAAATGTTGGAGAAGCAGTTGCTGGATGATGCAAAACAGTGTGCAGAACATATTATGTTGGTTGATTTGGCTCGGAATGATGTTGGAAAGGTCTCAATTTTCATCCATAATATCTGTGCTATTGCCAACTTCTGTGGCTTAACTTCAAAATGAGATAACATGAAATGAGAAACCAAATAAAGTTCTGTTTTGATGATGGTGATACAGGTTTCAAAAAATAGTTCGGTGAAGGTCGAAAAGCTTATGAACATCGAGCGGTATTCGCACGTAATGCACATAAGCTCCACGGTAAAAATACCTTCCAATATAAATGAGAGAAGGGAGAACAACATATTGCACATTAAAGTGATGCAACTGTTGTTGCTTTGTGCAGGTAACAGGAGAGTTACATGACCACCTAACTAGCTGGGATGCCTTGCAAGCTGCATTACCTGTCGGAACCGTTAGCGGAGCACCCAAGGTTTCTTCGTCATTCACCGTACCTAAAATTTAACATCCCACGAGTTATAGTTGTTCTGCGAGATTACTTTATCTATCAATGTTATGTAGGTGAAGGCTATGGAGTTGATTGATGAACTGGAGACAACGAGACGAGGCCCGTATAGCGGTGGCTTTGGTACCGTGGCGTTTAACGGTGATATGGACATAGCGCTTGCTCTCCGAACAATTGTATTTCCAACATCAGCTCATTACGACACAATGTACTCTTACAAGGGCGTGAACCAGCGCCAAGAATGGGTCGCTCATCTTCAAGCCGGTGCTGGCATAGTGGCTGACAGTAGTCCTGATGATGAACACCAAGAATGCCAGAACAAAGCTGCTGCTCTTGCTCGTGCCATCGCCTTGGCCGAGGCCGCTTTTGTTAGTAAATGATAACCTCCAGCTTCTGTGCTTCAAATTGCTCAAAGAATTTTGGTGTAATGGATAGTAAATAAAGTAGCTTCATATGCAACAAAAAGCCATAATATATATGTTTTCATACTTTTCTTGGCCATCTTTGATGGGCTTTATATCAATAAGAAGTTGCATCTTATATATATATATTGTATCAGTTACTGGTGTTTCCTTGTTTGTGTTTTGAGTACTAAAAAGTATTTAAAAAAAAAATGGTAGTGTTTAATTCAAAATTTAAACAGTTGTTAAAACTAATTAATTAACCTTTCACTGGATTGAAAAGTAATAAATTCCAATTTAATAGGAAAAACAAATAGTGAGAACTCTTCTATATATATATACATACACGGTTAAAATATATTTTTGGGAAGATAGAGGAAAGAAGAGGAAGAGAGAGAAAGAGGAGAGAAAAATGGAAAATAAAAATGTCATATAATTTTAAAATAATAAATATACAACTCACCAATGCCGTATTTCGTTAGGGTAATTAACAAAAGTTTAATTTCAAGGATCTTTTAAAACCATTTTTCAAAGGTCAGGGACCAAATTCTTGAGTGTATTTTATCTTTTGTGTATATATATATATATATGCATTTTCTGTTTCTTTGGGAAAACACTGGTAAAGTTTTTTTAGAAAATATTTTAAAAATTTTTAAGATTATTTTTAACTATGTAATCAAATATCGTGAAAATTTGTCCTCCAACAAGATTCAACTTGTAGGTCATTATAGTTGAAACAAGCGAGAAAAGTGAATAACGTTAGGAGATTGAATTCAGTATATATTTATGTTTCCAGCCCAATCCTAATATTTGGAATGATGGCTTTGACATTCTTTTTTGAGTTGAACATACCATTTATTCATTTAATGTATTAAATCTACTTTCCAAACTTAGGATTTGAACATACCATGTAATGTATTCAAGCTACTCCCAATATTAAAGGTTGTACCTACAAACTAACACGAGTCTTTTCAACGTGTTTTACCTTCACTGGTAGGTTCCCTAAAAAATAAGTTTTTAAACCTTTATTCAACTAACGAGGTATAGGTACACCTTACTTTTTGATAGTGTAAGTGGTGCTAGTTGAAGCAGGTTTAGGTAAATGTCCGAGTAAGACTTTTTTTTTAGTAAACTAAGGATAAAACATGCCAAAGAACTTAGGTTGGTTTGGAGGAATAATCTTTCAATCATGAAAGCAACTCAAAATATTAGGTGCATGTACGTGTCAATGGAGAATGTCAGGATCATTAGGTGTCAATTTAGATTCTAAATCCCGATCTTTATACTTTGCCTAAAATGTTATGAAGCTTGTAACTCCCTCTTTTTATTGCTTTTCTATATTATATTTAATAAATAAGTGAATTTTTACCCAACAAAAACAAATGAAATAAAAAAAAGTAGGTGCCATCATTTCTACAATTAGAGAAATAAATAAAAAAGAACTACTAAACTAAAATGAATGGGATAGTTTAGAGAGAGCAAAAATAGAGTTGAAACATAGATTTTTCTATGCTACCAATCTCAACCTCTATACAATCATTCAAACAATTGTTTCTAAATAAGCTTAGCTTGTTCATTATATCAGCATTTCTTTCTCTGCGCAAAAGAAAGCATGGTTTTGTTAGCTTACTGATATGACAAAATTGAACTTCACAACACAACTGCAAAAGGATTATAAGTTTTTTGCATACTTTGAATCTTCCTTGCAAAATGGATACAAATGTATAGTATTTCTCGAGCGAGACAACGAAAATCTACTAAAAAACATGAACAAAATGCAACCTCACGACTCGGTTTTAGTGATCAGTGAGGCTTGACAGCTTGCTAAGTTTTTGCCAAGGCATTGTGCTCATACATCCAATCCCTATGAAAAAATTTCTCTTGCAAGGCGTAGTTGGGCAACAGCATCACTGATATTCATTCTCTGGCTAGGTACTTGGGCAGAACATGCCACTCCTATGCTGAAAATGGAAAACAAGCACTCTTTAATTCTGAGAGATTGATTAGCCTGAGGCATAGCATTATTTTTGCCTGTTCCCTCTGGTTTTCGAACACTCGTTGTTGGATCTGCTATTCGTTCTACCAGGTTGGGTAAAGTCATAAGAACATAGTTCTTCTCAAGCATAGTATTGTTGTTATCTACTCCCTCTAGTCCTTGAAGGTGCATGGTTGGATCCACTACTTGTTCGACTCGGTCGGGTAGAGCTGAAAGAACATAGTTGTTCAAGGTCAAGCCATCTTTGAACATATCATCAGTTGGCCTCTTTCCAGTGAACATCTCCAACAAAAGGATGCCATAACTGTACACATCGCCGTATGTCGAAACCTCGCTTCCCATACCGTACTCTACACTTGTTCATGGACAGTTGAAGAAAGAGTTAAGAGTATTTAAAACCATTTCTTATCAGAAAATATGCACATTTTTTTAGAAAGAACATAGTTTTCCTATTTTTCTTTGAAGTATGGTTTTTGTTTGTGTGGATAAAGATAATATATCAGATAGAAGATAATCAAAGTCACCTGGAGGAGCATAACCAATGGAGCCTCTAATACCGATTGACCCGGTTTCGGTTGATACTTTTCGGAAGGAAGTTTGAGCCATAATTTTTGCCAATCCAAAATCTCCAATGTGAGCAGTCATGTCAGCATCCAAAAGAACATTGCTAGGCTTCAAGTCACAGTGAGCTATTGGCATGGGGCTGCCATTGTGCAGATAATCCAAAGCACTAGCTACATCAATGGCAATACTAAGCCTTTTAGTGATATTTAAATATCCTTGGCCCTCTTCCTGGTTTACTGGATGTAGCCACTTCTCTAAGCTCCCATTAACCATGAAATCATAAACCAATGCCATGAAATCGTTTCCTTGAAAATCGAAACCCAAACATGCAGAAAGAATTTTGACAAGATTTCGGTGTTTAATGTTTCTAAGGGCTTCACATTCTGCTAGAAAACTCTTTGATGCTCTTCTATGTTGAAGGTTGAACACTTTAACTGCAACAACTCCTCCATCCTGACTGAGAGTTCCTTTATAAACGGACCCGTAACTGCCGACTCCAATTAGATTGTTGGAAGAGAACTCATTGGTGGCTTTAAGAAGGTCATTGTAAGATACAACAAAATAGGAAACTCTTGGCAATGGACCTGAATCCAGCTTATTTCTTTTCTTCCTTGACCAGAAAAAAAGCAGAGAACATAAGACCAGAAGACTTGCCACCAGTCCACCAGCAACTGAGATGATTACCTTCCATGTCATGGATAATTTCTCCTTTGTGGGATTATTCAAACTGCATCTTGGTAGATTCAATTCAGGTATACCGCCGCAAAGTTGCTTATTTCCAATAATTGACAAAGCAGTTCTATTTTTGAACACTCCTTGAGTGGGAACCTCACCTTCCAAATTGTTGAAGGATAAATTCAAATAGCTCAGAAATCTTAACTCCTGCAAGTAAGACGGAATTTGGCCTGACAAATGGTTGCGAGAGAGGTCGAGATTTTCAAGACCTCTCAAAGCACTCAAAGACTGAGGTATAGAGCCCTGAAGGAAGTTCCCACCCAAGTTAAGATCTTCTAAGTTTGTGCAACCACTGAGAGTAGATGGAATAGCCCCAGTTAACAAGTTGTCTGAAATATGCAAATAGCCAAGGTTTACCAATTTCCCCACTTCCAAGGGAATGGAGCCAGTCAAAAAATTCTCAGAAAGATCCAGAGCAATGGATAAAGATGAAACACTCAATAACTCTTTTGGTATTGTACCAGTTAGATGGTTCTGAGAAAGAGCCAGCATCAGCAAATTCTGGTTTTCTCCAAGACTTGATGGTATGGCTCCTGTCAAGTTGTTCAACCTCAGATTACATCTCCCTAGCGCAGACAAATTTCCAAAAGAGTGGGGGATTGTCCCTGAGAGTTTGTTCATATTCAAAAACAAATCATTCAGTTTTTTTAGTTTCCCCAGTGAACTTGGTATAGAACCAGTCAGTTGGTTACTCTCCAAACCCAATGCCTCCAATTGAATGAGATTGCCAATTTCAGTTGGAATGGTTCCATGAATATAATTCCTTCCGAATCCAATAGTCCTGAGCTTCGTAGAGAAGTTGCTTATATATTCTGGAAGCAGTCCACCAAAATTGTTGTCACTGATGGATATAGCACTCAAATTGGTGCAGTTAACTAGAGAAGACAGAAAATTCAAGTCATCAACATCCCTATATCCAAGATTGTTCTCAAAGAGTCCAAGATTCTCGAGATGCCTCATGCTTGCCAAGCTCGGAACGTTCCCTGTAAACATGTTATTTGCGATGGAAAACATCACAAGTTCTGAGGCATTGGATAGTGTAGAAGGAATTGGTCCACTGAATTGATTGGTGTGGATTCTAAGGACCTGAAGGTTTGGGAATACGAGGCCTAAATCTGTGGGAAGGCGACCCTCAAGCTGGTTTACTGGAAGTGATAAGATTCTTATGGACGAAAGGTTGTAGATTGAGGAAGGGATAGTACCTGTCAGTTTGTTTGCCCCAATGGAAAGATCTGTCAAATTTTTCAACTGCCCAAAACTACTTGGAATGCTTCCATGGAAATTATTCAGACTTGCCCAAAAGCCCCTGAGAGATGACAGATTTCCAAGTGTTTCAGGCAATTCTCCAAACAGTTGGTTGGAAGTCAAATCAAGTACTTGAAGCTTGGATAACCGCCCGAGTTTGCTCGGCAATTCGCCAGTCAGATTGTTGCTAAGAAGGCCAATGTATTGGAGCTCTGAGCAGTTTGACATGGTGAAGGGAATCTCCCCTACAAATTTGTTGTTTCCCAAGTCCAATATTTGCAGCCTGCTCAATCTGCCAATATCTTGTGGAATTTCCCCCCCAAAGCTATTGTTATGGAGGTTTAATACCATAAGGAAGCTCAAGTTCCCTATAGAAGGTGACAATTGACCAACAAATTGATAAGAGGGAAGATTCAACTCAGTGACCCTCTGTTGTAAACTACATTTAACCCCTTCCCAGTTGCAGAAATGAACAGATTCATTCCAGGAGGTGAAGAGGCGAAATGGGTCAAGAGTTATCCAAGACTTGAAAGAAAGCAATTCAAGCCTATCTGTGTCATTTCCTCCAACTGCTGCTGAGGCCAAAGAAGGATTAAGTAGAAGAAATGACATAACAAACAGCCCCAGTTTGCACCATTTCAAACAATGGAGATTGCTTCCACAGTACTCCATAAGAAGGATTAAGCTTCAGTGAATGAAGTTCAAGAAACTGATGGCAGTTTATCAGAGCCAGTAGCAATCTGGTGCTTTGAAATCTTGGAAGGAATTTCAATTAGGACTTTCTGACATTATTGTCTGATTCTGCTTCCTATTTATAAACATCAGAAAACAAGAACCAGTGGTCTTGAGAATCGTGTTGAATTCAAGCCAAAGATTTGGATTTTTATTATTATTATTATTTTTGATGATATGGGCAAACAGATCATGTTTGAAGACTTAATAATGTGTTGAAGTGGCAGGTTGAGACAATATATTGGTTGACTTAATTGGATTAATTGATGGCAGGAAACTAGAGCCGCCGCCATCAACCGTGTCGTGTGTGAAAGGGACAGCTGTTGGATCTGAAGACTTCCAAAAGAGGGAGAAGATAAATAAGCTGGGAAAACAGAACAGGTCAGAATGTAAAGTAATGTCATTTTGTTGAGGTTTATCCTGTCCCTCATATATGTATTTACTCTATATATATTTTTCAATACAATTCGAATTCATCCTCTCGACTGTTCATTTCAAACTAGACGATCTATTAAACCAATTGATTGAGGATTATAAATGGATCTCTTTTTTTTAACTAGATTGGGAATCCATGGACTTTTCATAGGACTCATTTTACTAACAGGGGTTTATCCCCACTTTAGCTACTTTAGCAGTTTGGCCAGTCACTCGAGATTCCCGATTATTTCATTTTCTAGTGTTAGCAATGTATATACATTGGTTGAGAGCCACTGGGAGTTTTTAATGTGATGTGTATAGAAATAGACCAATAGAAATAAACCACGTCATAAAAGTCAGTAGAAAATCATACTTATCGATGTATAGGTAAGTGTCATTGGTATAAAGTTAGGATTATTTCATTGGACATAATTGTGATGCACTTCTCAAAAAAAAAACAAAATTTGCTCAAACATATTCTCTTAAGTTTTAAGTACTATTTTAGTCCCTTTACGTTCGAAATGTCTATTTGAACCTCGATTCATTTTAGTCTTTATACTTTAAAAATGTTCGTTTTGGTCCTTATATTTTTAAACAATAATCATTTTGGTTCCTTCAATTTCACTTTATCTCATTTTTTTCTATTACGATTTTGCATAACACGTTGCTCATCAAAATTTTTGAGATGCAAATCATAAATTTGTATAAATTTTTTGTATTAAAATTTTAAAAATATAGGCCAAAATAATCACTTTTAGACCAAAAATATGTATTTTGAAAATATAAGAACTAAAATGAATAAAAGTTTTTTTTTAAAGAAAATAAAAGTTAAAAATACATGGACGATTAAATACATGACAGATAGTATTTACAATACTAAACCGGCTCTCAATTAGATCACACTTATTAAACATAACACCTCAACAAATAAACTACAAACTAAATCAAAAAGTATGTAAGCAAATCATTTTCTTTTAAAAACAATTATTTCTATATCATAGTAAATCTTCAATATTATTTTTTAGAATGGTCAACTTAACATATCATTTGTTTAGATATTTATTTAATATAAAAAATTATCTAAAAGTCTTTTGATACATATTGACTTTTTTTATAGAACAGATACATATAGACATTGGTGATTGGAATGATTTGTTTTTTTTTTTTTAATTAAGCTGACATGCAAAAGTTGATAACTTAATTAAGTGATCTGTTACAATTTTTATTATCTTCAGCATTTCTTTTATTAAATTTTTTAAAAGAAAAATCCCATGTAGAAAATAAAATAGAATTATATGGAATAAAATCAAACATTCATCAACATAATGCAATCCACAGTGCCTCTGTTTTATAATCTTACATGAGTCAATGGTCAAACTTCATTTAACGAGCTTATTCTTTCATTTTTCAATTTCTCCACCTGTCTATGGAAAAATTTCTAATACTATTATCACTTAAATTAAAATAACCAATCAAATAACCATAGAATAGGTCAAAATTAACATATCAGTAACTTTTATATTTGAGTTCGGTTAAATAGTCTAAAATAAAAAATAACCCATCAAATTTTTGACATGCTAGAGATAAAAATGGCTTTTTGAAGACCTACTACAATGCCTACCCTTTCTCTGCACAAGTTGTTGCCTTTACCTGAAACCCACCTGCCTTTTCGAGTTTTTACCCGATTCGAACTCTAATATAGTTAAATTTCGAGCTCGGTAGAACCTGTTTACTATGTCCAAAAATGGACATGTGATGTAAGAAAACTACCAACATCTAGTGACGGCAAGAACATTTTGAGAATTTTAACCAAATCTTAGGACTATAATGAAAAGTTTAAAATTAAGAACCAAATTAAAACAAGTCAAACAATGGTAATTTAACCTTCAGGACACAAATGAAATCAGCCGTGTAGTACAGGGAATTTCCCCATCTGCATGTGGAAGAGGGAAGCTGAGCTTGTTCAACCAATTTAATGGTGAAGTAGAGGTTACCATTTTGAATAAAAACAAGTTGAAGAAAATGTAGAGATTATTCAACCAATTACTCGAGGCTTAAATATATGCATAAATAATAAACAACATGCATACTCTCAGACGCCCTCATTGACCCGCCATTTACTTTGATAAATCTATTTCAGAATCCAGACAAGGATGCCTAAACAATCTCACAGTTCACACCACCTACAGGCTACAGCCTTTTCTACGAAATTTTGTGATGCAGTCGGAGTAGAAGCCTATGTTCTTAAATGTTAAAATACCCAGGAAAGCTATTAAGGCAAGCAATTGACTGACTTAGAAGTGTATCCTCGTCATTAGGAGATCCTGAAGTACTCCATGTAGATTCCAGTGACTGCGTAAAATCTGCACTGGGTCGGAGAATCGATACATTGTCAATAGTTAACGGTCTCAAAGGTTCAATATCTTAAGCAACTAGGAAATACCTCAACCGTGTAGAAAATGCGTAAGAAGATAGTTCAGCATATAACTTTGTTCCTCTAGCCATACAAAGCTCTGGAATTACATAAATACAACAATCAACGACTCAATGAACTTTACATTAGTCCTAGACACATGATTGATTTGGTTATCACTTCCACGATTATCATCTTTGTACCATCATGAAAGTTGATGTCCAAAATGAAACATTTGATTGATCAGAATGGCAGTTTAAATCCAAATGAGCGATCAGCTTCTTCACCTAGCGCACATGATGCGGGGAGATCGACCTCCTCTCTCACTGCCAATTTCATCATCCATTTCACTTGCATCCAAACAGAGACCATTATTGTTGACACTCATTTCGGAACTAGCATTGCTGCTCGTAGCAAGAGGTGAATCTGAAACACTAACAGTTCTGCTTCGGGATGGCCCAGATCGTACACTATACATTGAAGAAGCTGGAATATTTGTCATCAATGGGCGTAGATTACCTGGAATGCTTCGCCTTATATCCTGTTCAAGAATAGTTTGCATAGTGTTAAACAAGAATGTGAAGTTTATTCCAAAATTACGTTGTCAGAAAGGAAAGATAGAAATTCCCTTCCACCAAAAAGATCCCCTGAAAAAAGATTGGATGCATACCATGTGTCTTATTGCCATATCAAGAGACTTCTTAGATAGTGTTCTCCCAAAGCCCGAGCTATCTGGCGATGAAGACTTCCCAGACAGATTTCCATGAGGTGAATGTTTGTCATCTTGCTTTGGAGGGGCCAATTTGCGCATGTTTATTACCCTTTCAACCATTTTCGTCCCCATCAATACAGGGCTTATGTTGGCATTAGCTTTAGAATACGCACGGCTTATTGCAGGGACAGAGCTCCCACTAAGATGGATATTCCCATTAGGCGCACGGCCTCTAGAAGGAGAGCATGATTGTCGTCTTGGCCTACCATTTGAAACAGGTTCTACAGAAGACGACCGTGCACTGGGTGCTCCAGGCCGACCCCTTGTGGCTGAAAGTGGCCTTTCAGGAAGTGACGTCCTTAAATTGGGTGGAGCATCAAGAGAGAAACCAGGCATGTCTGAAGGATTCCATGGTCTGGATTTAACTGTTGGGGAAGAACCTCTTGATGGTACTGGATTCTTTGACACAGTTGGAGATGGCTTTGAAATTGATGATGAAGACTTGACTAAGGAAACAGGTGCACTTGGTGCACTTGATGGTGTGGATGGCCGACGAGTTGGAGTTGAGGCCCTTGATGTGGACTTAGGTGGAGGTACAGTAGGTCGGGAAGTCGGTGTTGACGATCTTGCTGTTGCTCTTGATGTTGGAGTAGAAGATCTTGCAGAAACTGAGGACCTGGTTGAAGAAACAGTAGCCTGCCTAGTCATGTTAACTGTTGGCTTGGCTGAGGCAGCTGCCAGCTTATTTGAAGCTGTTGTAAGCTTAGCCGAGGAAACTGTTGTTTTACTTGAAGGCAAAGTTGCACGGGAAGTAGGTGTTGAGGATCTGGAAGTTTTAGATGTTGTGGTTAATGTAGGACGCCCGGTTGGTGTAGCAGGTCTTGATCCAGGACCTCCAGATGATGAAGGCCTACGTATCACCACACTTGAAGAGTTCAATCCTGGGGAAGAAGCTGATTGTTTTGAGACTAAGCTGCTCCTCGTAGTAGGCTCTTGCTGGAGATTTGCGAGCTGAACCCAGAAAAGGAGAATGACTTAACAAGTGATTAAAAACAGAGATAATTAATAACACAACATTAGTAACTGCTATTGTAATTATTGAGGGATATTAAAATAAATTATTCTATATAGAGCTTAAGATTGCAAATTCATTGAGTGCCACCCAAATGTCAAATCCCAAGCAATTAAGGAATTTAGATAGGTAGATTTTCACTTGGCCTATAAATGAAGGATTTATCCAACTTGTTCTGATCATGAACAAAGTAACAAACTATGACGTTGGCATAAACACACTTGGGAAGTGTGAACTACAACACTGGTCTTCCTATTACTGTCTATCAACGGAAGAAATAATACTATGTTTCCTATCCTTCTGCTTTATAAAACCAGAGTCGTTTCATTATGGCCAAAGCGCCAAGTCCAGCCTTTTCCTTCTGAACTTCACAAGAAACAGACTTTCCAAAAGAAAAGCACCAAGGAAGGTTGAAAGTTACTACTAACATATCCGGTGAGATTCCCAAGCTCTTATAATCCCACAATGACATCTATGTCTTTTAGAACCAAAGTCAAGTACCAACAAGTTATTCAACTAATTGAACTAAGAAAGAACTTACTCTAGATTTCAGCACATTGGGACGACCCATTGGAGTAGCATGGCTCATTAAGACCCTTTCTGACTCCGTTTCCAAAGATGGAAAAAGAGGAGTTCCAGGAGGAGTAAGAAGCCTGAAAAAAATAACAAGTAAACTTCTGGTTAATTTAACTGATTCTTCAACTTGCACAAAGTAAGATCTATAACGAATTGTCAAACCACTAGGTATGAACCATTTTTAAACCCACAAGAATAATTAAAATAGAGATTCCAATTCCTTAAAAAAGATACTTTTCACTATTGGCATTGAATGATAACAGCCATGTCTAGACAGAGGCAAAAGACACTTCTTGATAGTCTTGTCCGCAACTCCCAACCAACCCCATCCCCTTCCCCACCTATGAACATAAAGTTTCAAACAACACCGAATCTAGGGAACCAGACAGAGTCGCTCTGGGGCTCCCATGTTAAAGTTTCAATAACCCAAAACCTCATAATCTGTGGCAATTGGTAT